TCTAAGTTGAATATCTTTAATCAGTATTTGAGTCTTTAGGAGTCTACAAGTTTTCAAAAATCTTGAAGAGACCTCTAATAAGCTTCTAACATTTAGGCCTTTAAAAGCCTTAGCCCCGAATCTTGAAAAGCCCCAATTCTATAATGTATTTCCTTTGTTAATTGGTCTTTTCCGAATCTAAGACTTAAAAACTCAACTCCGAGGAAACCCCAGCAACGGCGAAGCCATTTTAGATAATTAATCGCCGCGTCAGGTAAATAAATGGAAAATGTTAAATTCGGAAAGAAAAGATAAAAACGTATCGGATCTATGAATAGAAGGTCCCCGATAAATCTAACCTTTTAGAAGCGTCGTCCCCTTCCGACATTTTACAAATGAACCTCGGTAACCGGCTACATAATCCATTCGTGCGCTTTTCAGACCACCTCCGGCGTTAATTAAAGCACGACGATACAGCAAAAATCTTCCGGATTTGATGAGTCCGATTTTACCGGAATGACGTCAGCGCACGCTTTTGCCCTACATTCCATCGCGCTATTTTTGGATTAATTGAAACCGTGTATGCACTTAGGTCCCCTTTGTTATAAACGCGGACCGGTAGTACCGGTACTAATTGCAAATCAAAAATGTATTAGCTCAATTATCATTGACCGAAATCGATACCGTTGCGAGGAAGAGGGGGTGTTGGCAATTCGGAAATTTCGCTCGCTATTAACGAAGTGTAATTTGTTATATAAGTTTTGATTGAAATTTTTCGTTGGGTAACTCGATTCTGTTGTAAATTGGTTTCGATACGAAAAGAAAGGAGAAATGTAATTTCCTCGTACGTTGATGGAAAATCATATCGGGGCGCGAACGAAGCTGACGTGGCCGATTTTGGTGATTGAAGAGCAAGGACGTCGATAAATGGGCATCGAAATTTTGAATGAAGCGTATCCGATACTTTTTTCGTACAAAAATCAACTCAATCATCGCCTTACCGTACGCATTCATTGCATCGAGATACGTCGATCCTCTATAAATACATTGGAAGATATTGTCACTATTGTCAATACGAGAGTACACCTTCGCCCTAAAATTACGGCGCCTTGCACTCGAATCCTCGGCTTACGCCATTCTCCGTCAGGATGATTAACGATATCAATTTTGTTCGCATCTCATCGGACATTCTAATGGAATTAATCGAATCGCCTTAGATAAAACTAGGTAGCGTACCCCCCCCCCCCCCCATCCCCGTTGCGTGCCTCAGAGGCACATTGAATATGATATGAATAATAAAACGACGATACTTCACCCTTTCTCCATTATGTTGAAAAGGATAAAGCATTAATTATCCCCTTTGATGTTATAAATAGTATCAGGATTACATAGAACTTCGCCATTCGCCAAGTAAATTAAAGCCGGAGTGCTAAAGCGAAATTAAACTTTTTTAAGCGCGAGGCGAAAAATAATTTCAACAAAATACCAAGTTATAAATCACTCACCTCACGAGGGTGTCTCGAATACGGAGGGAGGGGGCGTTCGATGAATTTAACAAGTACAATCGTGTTTTGCAATCGGCGTTGTACGCCGCCGGTGATAATCACCAGAGCGTGCGTAATCAAAATTTAGTATCTTGTCGCGTATGCGAAAGGGTAGAATGGGGGCGGTTTACGAGTGCGCGACATTGATAATGATCGGGATGAGCTCTTTGAGCTGAGCTTTGTGAATATACTGACAAAACGAAACTTCGAATATCTTCCACAGGCAAATGAGGTTTTAAATTCATGCAAACGATTTAGATTCTACATTTTTCATTTGAGTCTTGCAATTTCACATATGACTATGATGGTCGTATTGATAGACCACTCGCACGATCGTGGCTCAGGTGTCAAAATTGCTGAAATGACCATCTCTGAGAAAAAACCATTGAAGCTTCCCAGGGAAAAGAAGCTTCGTTGGCTCTTCATCGAGTGATGAAAGAAACTGATTGTAAATGGCTTCGAAGTGGGTGGATCCAAGTTCCCTTTTTTTGGGTTGTATTCCATACCCACTAGGTCCCACCGGAGGTATTTTCTCGTTTCAAAACGTTGATAACCATCAAGATTTGTGATCATGTTCGCGGGAGAGCCATCGAAGCTCCTTTTCCTGGGAAAGTTTGGTGTGGAATGCCTCGCAAGAAGGGGAGCTTCGATGGTTCTCCCCCGAACACGACCACCGCAAATATTAAGGGTTCTAAACGTTTTGAAACGAGAACGTACGACCGAGGGGTCTGAATACCCCCCAGGGAAAGAGAAACTTAGATGATTACCCGGTGAGGCATTCCCCCTCCAACCCATTTACAATCAGTTTTGTCACCATCATTCTGGAGAAAGGGCCATGGAGTTTCTTTTTTCTGGGGGGTATTCCATACCCCCCAGACCCCCCGGTGAAGTGTACTCCCCTGCTGAAATCCGCAGTCCTCAGTACGTGTGGTCGTTTCTTAGGAAAAACCGCCGAAGCTCGGTTTCCTGGTGGAATTTGGTATGGAATGCTCCTCCAAACATAGTCATCACAAGTATAGATAATTTACCGTTTTGAAACGAAAACGCACGACCGGGGGGTCTGGGGGGTATGGAATACCCCCCAGGGAAAGAGAAACTTTGAAGATTACCCGGTGAGGCATTCCCCCTCCAAGCCATTTACAGTCAGTTTTTGTCCCCATCATTCTGGAGAAAGAGCCATGAAGTTTCTTTTTTCTGGGAGGTATTCCATACCCCCAGACCCCCCGGTGAAGTATACTCCCCTGCTGAAATCCGTAGTCCTCATTACGTGTGACCATTTTTTTAGGAAAAACCGCCGAAGCTCCTTTTCCTGATGGAATTTGGTATCGAATGCTCCTCCGAACATAGTCACCACAAGCATAGATAATTTTACGTTTTGGAACGAGAACGTACGACCGGGGGGTCTGAGGGGTATGGAATACCCACCAGGGAAAGAGAAACTTTGAAGATTACCCAGTGAGGCATTCCCCCTCCAACCCATTTACAATCAGTTTTTGTCCCCATCATTCTGGAGAAAGAGCCATGAAGTTTCTTTTTTCTGGGGGGTACTCCATATCCCCCAGACCCCCCGGTGAAGTACACTCCCTTACTGAAATCCGCAGTCCTCAGTACGTGTGATCATTTTTTAGGAAAAATCGCCGAAGCTCCTTTTCCTGGTGGAATTTGGTATCGAATGCTCCTCCGAAAGTAGTCACCACAAGCATAGATAATTTTACGTTTTGAAACGAGAATGTACGACTGGGGGGTATGGAATACCCCCCAGGGAAAGAGACATTTTGAAGATTACCCGGTGGGGCATTCCCCCTCCAACCCATTTACAATCAGTTTTTGTCCCCATCATTCTGGAGAAAGAGCTATGAAGTTTCTTTTTTGTGGGGGGTATTCCATACCCCCCAGACCCCCCGGTGAAGTACACTCCCTTACTGAAATCCACAGTCCTCAGTACGTGTGACCATTTTTTAGGAAAAATCGCCGAAGCTCCTTTTCTTAGTGGAATTTGGTGTGGAATATTCCCCAGGAAAAGGAGGTTCGATGGCTCTTCCTCGAACATGATCACCACATATATGGATGGTTCCAAACGTTTTGAAACGAGAACGTACTACCGTTGCGTCTAGAGAGTATGGAATCCCCCCCAGGCAAAGTAGTTTTGATGGTGATCATTCCCACCTCAACAGTTACGGTCCTCAATACCTATCATCATCATTTTTGAAGGTACCGATGGAGGGGGGGGGGTCAAAATTGATAAAGTAAAAACTGACTGGGTGTCCACAAAACGCTCTTTTGGCTACTGACAGAGACAGTCGATTATTTCTTTTTGTCGCCACTGTCTGCCTTTATTGCGTCGCATTAACAAAATGAGCCTTTTGTCAATTTGAACCTGCTAATTATTTTTATTATTAAACAAAACTTTACCTACATGAAAATGTCAGGAGCAAAGAAGTTCGAAAACTGAGGTTAGTGCTTCAAACATTTCAAAAATCTAATTAGAAGTTTAAAATTTAAGGTTTGACCGATCCAATTACTCTTTAATTAGCTTAATTATTCCTAATTACTTTGATATCAAGATTGTTTTCATTGCTAGTTGAAGTAGGAATTCGAACACTTTGAATTACAACAGTAATGGACACTTCCCCTATAATCGCCATTAAATTGGCAGTGGTCACCGACGCTTCCTCGTGTAAAATTGAAGTTTGAAACTTTCTTTCTAGGTCTTTGAAGCGAAAAAAATTGAAGAAGGAAATAAATGAAAGAATGCTACGTTATTCAAAGCTGGTTTTCACTTGGTGGCGCCTCTGGGAGCCGCTCAGCGGTTTTTCGCTTTGATTTGGTTGCATTCGGCTCACGTAACGCAAATTAAATTATTTATCGATTCAAATCTACAATTATTATGCTCAGGCACGCCGGCCTTATCCCAGAGGCGTCTCGTGAACTTAATTCTGCAATTCGAAAAAGATAATGAAGTGGTACACCCCCCCCCCCTAGCAAAATCGGTTAAAGGGTCGTATTTGTCTTTTAGCTCAAAGTATCTCCGGGCATGTCGGTATACATTCCAAACTTCTACGGAATGCCTAGCGACAAGAGCAAACAAAACTAAAGCTCGAAAATAAACAGCGAGCGTGCCACCTGCTCGTGGAGTTACCCGCAATTGCTGTGTATTAATGCAGCGCCTGGGCATGGTGAAAGAAACCGAAACTTTGTTTGGAAACCGTTAAATTTTAACGAGCCTCTGCTACACCAGCACGTTTAAATATTCAATGGTTCGCTCCAGTTTAAGAATTCGGCTCGTGCCTTCATAACCTAAATCTAATCAGGCACAGGCGTGGTCGCCGGTTGTATTTCTATATTAACCTGAAAGCCTTTTGATTTGGCTCTAATCGCAACTAATCGACGCGAGTCCTGGAGATTACTTACAACCTTGGCCCAACGTAGGTTTAATTACCGCGCGCACGCCACGGCTCAATTAAAGTTCTGTTTCAGAAACAAAGGAGGAGAAACCGCCCTCGGCCAAGACCATAACGCTACAGTCGGAGACCGCGGACGGAGTCGAAGAAGCCGTAGACCTAACGGATCCCGATCTCGCAGGAGCGGCGACGAAGATACAGGCGGCCTTCAGGGGACACCAGACGAGAAGGACGATGAAGCACGAGGACAAGGCGGCAAAATCGACCGGTTCGCAGCAGCAGCAGCAGCAGCAACACCAGCAGGAAGAGTTCGAGAACGATTTCGGATCCGATGACGTAGGTAAGAAGGATTGCATTTTTTATTATCCGAAAGAACGCCCGGTATCGATTCGGATGCTTATCGCGGCACGCGACAGTCTCTACTTAATGTAGAATGGGGGGCAGGTGCGATAAGTTCGATTTAAATTTATTTACTTTCAACCTTCAAAATTGTAACTAAATCCCCTGACAGTAAAGTGGATTTTAAGTAGGTTAACCTAGAGTGAGTGCAAGCAACCCCGAGCACTTACAAGACAATGGACCATAATTATGAAGTTTTTTTCATTTTTTCCCTGAAACTAAATATTTTGACAAAGTGACACTTAATCCCCTCAAGCTGCTATTCTCAGAATCAAAATGGAAGAGTGCTCCCTTGCTCTATTTTTTAAATAAATGTGCACATTCCCTACCTAAGCGCGTGTATTGATTTGTATGTTTCTCGGCTTCTTTCACCTGCACTGCTTTCGTCCGTAATAAAATAAAACTTTACGGCCCCAGATGACCGTGGCTGTAATTACAATTTGCTACCCCAGTGGTTTAGTCTGTCTAGTGCATGGTACAATCAAATACGGGGAACCCTCATTGCGCTTCCGTACAGGTTAGTCACGTCCGTAATACTGAAAACGCCGTAACCGATGTCTCTGTCTCCGTTAATTCAACAAATCAGACGCAAGAAAGTTGCAATCCACGTGAGTGTGACCAGAAAAAATATTTCGTAGTACATAACTTGCTAGAATACCTCGAAAATTACTTGTAGTTTGTTTAGTCCCGAACGAGGGCGTAGATACCCATCTGTGGGGCTGGTTTTGATGGACACTATTTTTTTGTAATGTGTAATATTTACACTTGGCATTTGGATGAATGCTAAACTACTGTACCGTAAGCTAGAAAGGTAATTTGGGCTTTTTTATCATAACCGCACGGCGATAGGTCGGAGCTGGTATAATGAAACGAGAACAATTTGTTAGGTGGAGTATTTTAAAACCGCCTGAAACAGCAATTTTTTTCGTGCGCCGTATCTTCCAAACTGTCTCCTTTTTTACGCGAAATATTTTTTGTCCGACCCGAAAATCAGCCACCCGAACGCACAGTCAAAGTGGCGGAAAAAGGCAGTCGGTGACCGATACAAAAGATGAATTACGCTTCATTAACCGCGAATGATTCCCGATTCACCTTACGTCAATAATCACCTTTACTAAAAGGTCGCGTTGATATTTGGGACGGGATTGTGCACTACTTTTAAATTTATGTGCCGAAAGAATGTAATTTACGACCTGTCTTTTTCATATCGCACCCTTGTATGATATGTGTTTTTCCTCGTGCGAAGCTAAGAGCCGGGTGACAGATCAATCTTCCGGCTAGGAAATTTAATATGAAGTGATTCGAATTTCATGCGAATCGGCTCGGAAAATATACTGAAGAATGGCCGAGTAACTGGCGTTTATAAATTTGATGTGACTAACCTGTATGGCAGGGCGATGGCAGAAAAGGAAAGACAACCTAACCCCAAATTCTAAACAAACTCGAATTGAGAAGGTTCAAACCCGTAGATCTCCATTAGGATATCAAATTGTAATTAAATCTACGGTCACCTGGGGTCGCCAGGTATTATTTTATTACGGGCGAAAGCAGTGCAGGTGAAAAGGACAGGGAATGTGCAAATCAATACACGCGTTTACGAAAGAACGTGAAAATTAGCTTTTTAAAAGGGAAACATTGTAATCCTGACACTAATTGCTTGAGGGAATCACTTTTGCAAAATTGTATCAGGGTTACAGCTTCTTCTGCTTTCCTGATTCCCTCTTAAAATCCTTTTTTATCAGGATCACACGCTCAAAAAAGTGTAAAATTAAGTGGGGGACACTTTTTCCGACGGTTTTTCCTTGCATCAGGATAACAGAAAGAGAACGCGACAAGATGCAAAAAATTAACCAAATCGGAATAGAAAGGAGGTGTAGAGGTACATCTGTTCACCTGATCCCTTTAAGATGTTTATCCAGATCACAGGAATATCTGTTACAGCATTATGTTCTGCTTGCACAAAATTCATTTTTAAAATTGAGATATCAGGATAACAGAAACCCATGAAAGTATAAAATGAATTTCTAGACACTGTTCTCCTGATACAACATTCTCTTAAAAATGGTTAGATCTGCGTACCAGATACTGAATTCTCATTTGAAAACCGTTGTATCGGGAGATCAAGAACTTCAAAAGGTGTAAAATGCAACGTCGTGTAAAACTAATTGCATGACACTGTTTCTGGTGTAAAATTCTATTGTTGAAGCGAGATAACAACTGTGTTCCTATTCGGATCACAGGAAAATTATTTCCCAGAGATCTCTCCTGGAATTATGTTCTGCTGATACAACATTCTGTTACAAACTGTTAGATTGGGATAACAGAAACGCATGAAAGTGTAAATTGATTTTCTAAACGCTGTTCTCCTGGTACACAGAAGAATAACTATCAGTCTTCTAATCTAAAGCATTTTTTTTCAAGTTCCCTAGTAGAATCACTCGAACGTAAAAAGGTGCAAAATTATGTTCACCTGATACGAAATTCTCTTTACAAAATTCTTGGGCGAGGGTAAAAATTAAATACGAAACACATGTTCTGGTGTTATATTCTCCTGATATACCATTTCTAATAGTTAAATCAGGGTATCAGAAACGCACGGGGGGAACATGTATTGACTCACTGACTACAGTATAACTGAAATATCTTTCTTAAAAGACTGGTATCAGAATCCCAGGAAATCCTGAGGCAAATTTCTATTTTACGAATTGTTGGATCAGGACAAGACAAGCTTGAAGGGTGAAATTAATTTCGAAACACTTCTTCTGGTATCGTGTCCTCCTGGTACAACGTTCTTGGATAAGGATAACAGAAATTTTACGGCATAGTCTCCTAATAAAAAATTTCGTTTTTAAATATTATTGGATCAGGATAACAGAAATACAACACGTAAAGCAACTGAAAGCATTTCTGCTGATGGACATCATCCTTTAAAAATTGCTAGATCGAGAAAAGAAATTAAAAAATTCTTCTCTGGATTCCTGATACACAATTCTCTTTTGAAAATTGTCGAATGAAACGCAAGGTGTAAAATTAACTGCATTAACTACATCTTTCTTTTAAAAATTGCCGTACCAGAATCTCAGGAGCGCGAAATGTAGTAGATTTAATTGCAAGTAAGTGTTATGTCCTTCTGATGCAAGATTCACTGTGTTGGATCAATATACATAAATGCAAAGTGTGAAACGTATTAACGGATTCTTTATCAGGATCACATGAACGCAAGAAAGTTTATTTCAAGGCCCTTTTCCTTGACAGTATGTTCTCCCGATACGAAACTCTCCTTTAAAAATTGTTGGGTAAGGATTAAAGAAATATGGCGGATGATTTGGCTGGCCTCCTGATAGAAGTTTTACAACAAAAGAAATGCAAAAGGGTGTAAAATGTATCAGGAGACACTTACTCTACAGATTTCTTCATCGGGATAACAGAAACGCATAAAAGTGTAAATTGATTTTCTAGACGCCGTTCTCCTGGTATACAGAAGAATAACTACCAGTCTTCTAATCTAAAGCATTTTTTCAAGTTCCCTAGTAGGATCACTCGAACGTAAAAAGGTGCAAAATTATGTTCACCTGATGATACGAAATTCTCTTTACAAAATTCTTGGGCGAGGGTAAAAATTAAATACGAAACACATGTTCTGGTGTTATATTCTCCTGATATACCATTTCTAATAGTTAAATCAGGGTATCAGAAACGCACGGGGGGAACATGTATTGACTCACTGACTACAGTATAACTGAAATATCTTTCTTAAAAGACTGGTATCAGAATCCCAGGAAATCCTTAGCCAAATTTCTATTTTACGAATTGTTGGATCAGGACAAGACAAGCTTGAAGGGTGAAATTAATTTCGAAACACTTCTTCTGGTATCGTGTCCTCCTGGTACAACGTTCTTGGATAAGGATAACAGAAATTTTATGGCATAGTCTCCTAATAAAAAATTTCGTTTTTAAATATTATTGGATCAGGATAACAGAAATACAACACGTAAAGCAACTGAGAGCATTTCTGCTGATCGACATCATCCTTTAAAAATTGCTCAAGAAAGGAAATGAAAAAATTCTTCTCTGAATTCCTGATACACAATTCTCTTTTGAAAATTGTCGAATGAATTAACTGCATTAACTACATCTTTCTTTTAAAAATTACCGTACCAGAATCTCAGGAGCGCGAAATGTAGTAGATTTAATTGCAAGTAAGTGTTATGTCCTTCTGATGCAAGATTCACTGTGTTGGATCAACATACATAAACGCAAAGTGTGAAACGTATTAACGGATTCTTTATCAAGATCACATGAACGCAAGAAAGTTAATTTCAAAGCCCTTTTCCTTGACAGTATGTTCTCCCGATACGAAACTCTCCTTTAAAAATTGTTGGGTGAGGATTAAAGAAATGTGGCGGAAGATTTGGCCTCCTGATACAATTTTTACAACAAAAGAAATACAAAAAAGTGTAAAATGTATTAAGAGACCACAGGAACGCAAGAAAATTGAATACTAAGTGCGAGATTCTAATTCCGGATGTTATGTTCTCCTGACACCGAATTCTAATTTAAAAAACGAACAAGTATAAAAGAACTTTTCTGGTATTATGGCTTCCTGATCCAATATGTTCTATTAAAAACTATTGAATGAGAATAGTAGAAACGGAAGAAGGCGTAAAATTAATTAAACGGGAATTGCTGCACAATTTTAACTGCTTGACACTTTTGCTGGTATATGTTTTCCTGTTACAATGCTTTTGTTAAAAAATTAATGTGTTAGGATAACAGCAACGAAAGACGGCGCTCATTTTTTAATCTTTGGTATTATGTTCACGTGATACAAAATTTCTGTTGTCCTGATACAAAATTCGCTTTTAAAAATTATTGCGTCAGGGTTACATAACAACAAGTACGTGTAAAATTAATTTCGGGGTACTTTTCTAGCGTTATCTCCTCCTGGTACCAAATAGTTGTTAGGGCAAGATACTAGAAACGCAGAAAGGTGTAAAATAAAGTATAAGGGTATTATGATTTCCTGGTACAAAACGTTTTGTTAAATATTGTTGCGTTAGAACATCGGAAACTTCCTCTAGTATCATGTTCTCCTGTACTCTCTTCTCAAATGTACAGAAATTAACACTTTTTCAATGATACAGTAGCTCCAGATGGTGTACAATGGAGTAACCCCTTTTGTGTCTCCTGATACATTTTTTCTTTTACAAATTGCCGTATCAGGATGACAGAAATGCGAAATGGTATTGTGCTTCTTGATTTTCTTTTACAAACGGTTGTGACGGGATATCAGGAAGAGAAAGCAACAGAAGTGATTCCGGGATGCTTTTCCGGTATTATGCTTTCCTGATACACATTTCTGTTTCAAAAACTGTTGGCCCAGAAAAACGCAACACGGAGAGTGGCTCTGGGGCTCTTCCGCGACGCTTTCAGCTCGGAATTAATTAAAGAACTAAAAGGTTTACACAAGAAACAGCTTTAGAAGTTTTCAAGCTTACATTAGAACATTCTTGAAGGTAAGGTGAGCTTCTAGACTTAAAACTAAGCTCCTTAATGTTTTACAAATAAAGTTTTCGATTGAAAACACCTTCGACCCAAGTCAATTGTCGTCCAAAAATTTACAAATTTTTCCTTTTCAGAATTGACTCACGCCGCGACGAAAATTCAGGCGTCATTCAGAGGTCACATGGTCCGCAAGCAGATGGATAAGGAGGACGGCGACCAGAAACCCCAAAAGGTGAGCGGTCCCTTTGCCTCCTTCCTAATCGATTAACTCTACGCTTTCAGCCGACGCCCGAAGAAGAGGAGCTCGACATAGACCTCACCGATCCGGAACTGAATAAGGCGGCGACGAAAATTCAGGCGTCGTTTCGCGGTCACGCCGTACGCAAAGATCAGCCCGGACAGACCGAGACGAAATGAAGCGAAAAACGTATACAGTGTGTTAATACCTACGAAGCGAATCACGTTACTAACCTACTATTATACAGTGTGTGATTTATATTTAGTCCTGTACATACTTTCATTTATCGAGTACTCGTAGCAATATACTTTGTTCCCTTCAACTCCTTAGAGTAGGTCCCAGTTTTAGAAATACTACCCTTTGTCTTTGACCTATAACCGCCTGCCTTGCTGCAGACAGACGGACGGGACGGTTCGATACTTTTCTAGTACTATTCTCGTCAATTTTAGTATAGTTCTCCGCGGGACGTTGTGGATCCGCCCCACAATGTCGCCCGAAGAGCTAGAGCACTAAATTATTTCAAGTGCCAGCACCAAAAACCTACCTTTTCTATATTACTAATAAAAGAAGACAGTAGCTGATGGTAGTTTTAAAAATTGTTACTCCGGGCGAGTCGCCCCGCTAAACTAGCAGAAGTTTAAATAATTATAATAATTATTGGCATTATTGTTAATGCTCAAAGGTATAAATGGATATAGTTATAGTTTTATGGAGGATTTAAAAGAGGCATTTGTTAATATCCCACTCTACTATTATTTATTATTGTAAAGGCGGCGTTCAGATTGTATCTTACGTTGAAAGAACACACGTTTACGCTTACTTATGTAAATTGTATATGGCGGCAGCAAATAAAGCGGTATACCTTTGTGTTGAATTTTTTTATCGTTGGTTCGCTACACTACCCCCCTCTTACTTTTGAGACACAAGATGCATGAGACGGAAAGCGTGATTATTTTCTAAGAAGATTTTCATGATGAAAGTTTTAAAGGCGAATGTTTTGGAAGTGACCGTGGTACTGGAGGGCCCGAGGGGGTATGGAATATCCCCCCAGTACACAAATCCCTTTTTTTCCTAGACGGTAGGTATACAGGGTGATTCCTATAGTACCTGCCACCGTTTGGGAGCGTATAGGGGGTGCCTAGGGGAGTATTTTGATATAGGACACTTGGGGTCGGAAATCTAAAATAAGGGCGCCAGAACCAAATTTATCTTCTGGAATTTCACGCCTGTATGTAGGCAACCCAACCGACCGACGTTTCGCGCGGAGCGATGCAGAGCGAGTTAGCGCGAGGAAGCGACATGGGAGGGAAGGAGGGAAAACGACAGTCAAAAGCAATAACGTTTACAAGTGTTCAACGTGGCCACCGTTGTTCTCAATGCACTTCCTACATCTAGCCAACTATTATTATACTATTGCCATAGTGTTTATTCACTTGATACGCGTCGTTGCAGACGGGATTTCGTGGGTTTAAACAAAATTCTGATCAAGTGTCAGCCACACATCGCCGCCTGAGATCGCTCCGTGTGCACCGCCGGCCGGTTGGGTTGCCTACCTACAGGCGTGAAATTCCAGAAGGTAAATTTGGCTCTGGCACCCTTATTTTAGATTTTCGACCCCAAGTGTCCTATATCAAAATACTCCCCTACGCACCACCTACACGCTCCCAAACGGTGGCAGGTACTATAGGAATCACCCTGTATATTCTATACCCCTCAGTACTATACGTTCTTCCCAATAACATTCGCCCTTAGAACTTTCATGTATATGGAAGATAGAAAATAACCAAACATGTTAATTGTTGTAAAGGAAAACGTATAGCACCGGGGGTCTAGCTAGAGTATGGAATACTCTCCAGCATACGAAGAGTTTATATACTTAGAGTAGTGATGAGTCAAGTTGGTCCAAGTGCTCAATTGAGAAGAAAAAGATACCGTTCTTTCAAAAGTTTATGTTCAGAATATCCAAAATAGTATCTATACCTCATATACAAAGAACATTAAGAATAAACTGAGAATGTCCTGTAAGTTTATTCCCAGAATATCCTAAGAGGTATATACTCATTTTCTCAGAATTAAATAAATGAAGAATATACTTTTAAGCTTATTCTCAGAATATCCGAGATATTCCCTTTCGCATATCCCTAGTATATTCCTGGTATATTACGGAAATATTCAATGCTATATAAGGTGTCAGTACTTATGTGCGAATGAGACGTGCTGGAGGTGCGAAGGAGACAAAAGATGTACTTAAAGCTGGGGAGGAAGAAGGAGGAGGTGGGAGTGAATATAATGTAGTGATGGTATGGTACAGTAGGTATAAGTGGCAGGGAGTGAAAAGAGAATGGAAGAAACGTGAAAAAATTCAAAAAAACTGGGGGAGAGTAAGAAACTTGAACGTGGAAAAATGAAAAAGTGCAAAGACGTGAATAAAGTAAAAAGAAATAGTGATGAATGTCAAAATGATAAGCAGGGTAGGCAAACATGTGAAGACATCCTAAAAGATGCGTGAAAGAAGTAATTAGAAGGAGGCAAAATGGAGACAAACGCATGAAAAGGGCATGGCGCTGATGCTTGGGGTATGTGAAAAGGAGTTGAAGGGAGGGGGGAGGACTGAATGTCAAGGCTAGGAGTTGGCGCCAAGGAGATGCCGTGAATGATGTGTGAAGTACTGGTAAGAACACATCCTAGGGCAGATTAGAATAGGACATGACAAAAGTATAAAGCAGGTCTGGTAGACGAAAGAGTCTGGAGGAGTGTGAAGAAAACGTGAGAAAGATGCACTTAGAGGTAATAAGGAAGTGTGAGGTATAAGGGAATTTTCAAGCAGAGATAGGGGTGAAAGAAGGAGTAAAGACGGCGTACCCTCCCAGATCCCCTGGTACTAGGTTCTCCTCTAAAACATTCGCCCTTAGAACTTTTATCTATGGAAGATAGCTCCTTTGAAATGAATAATCAAGCGTGCTATTTGTTGTGGGGGAGAAAGTACTCGTATAGCACCTGGGGGTTTGGGGGGTATGGAATACCCTCCATTGGCATACGAAGAGTCTATTTATATGAGTATATGGTGTCATGATTGTAGGATGATTCGCCCCCGGACTATTCGTCTCCGTAAGATTCGCCCCCGGTAAGTTCGTCCCCGACAAATTCGCTCCTGGAAGATTCGCCCCCGGTGATTCCGCTCCCGTGGGATTCGCCCCATAAGATTTATTAATCCTCGGAGGTAACAGTGCTAGCAGTTCATAAAATGAATTTTTGTTTAATATGTTACTAAACCGCAACCTATTACTTCCGAGGGTTAATAAATGTTACGGGGCGAATCTTCTAAGGGCGAATTTGTCTGAGGAGAATTTGTTGAGGGCGAATATTCCGGGGGCGAATTTGTTGGGGGCGACTACTCCTGGGGAGAATATTCCGGGGGCGAATTTACCGGGGCGAGTCTTCCGTGGCGAATTTACAGCACACCGGTGTCATAGTGATATAATGCAATAATTTGTAGGAACAGGATCATTGTATTTTTGAAGGGGGGGGGGAGTCTTCCATACTCCCTGACCCCCGGCTGCTATATACTTTCTCCCTCACGAGAATCACCATGTTTGATGATTATTCTCCAAGTTTTCCATACTTATATGAAAGAGTGATCGTGCTACGGGGGGGGGGGGGCGGTATAAAATACCCCCAAGTACATTTTTTCATAGAGGGTAGGTAGAATATCATGGAATTATACTTTCAGAAAAGGCTTTTCAAATCCCTTTTTTTCTGGAGGGTAATATTGTGCTCTATACTCCCGCCCAGACTTTATGTACGGTTTTGATCCAAAATAATGCCCCTAGAATTAGACAAGTGTAGCACAATATTGCAGATCTCCCGTGAGTTCTGAGCTTCTTTTTAAAATTAAGATTGAAGATATGATACGTTATCATCATCAGTTGACGTGTCTGAGGGAAGACATACTTTTGACCAGGACTGTACATGAAAGTTCTAAGGGCGGATGTTTTGGGGGTGAACGTGATACCGAGGGGTCTGCCAGCACACAGGGATCGATTAGGTACACTTTCTCGAAAAATCCGTCATGAATATATATATATATATATATATATATATATATATATATTCTGTACCCCCCAAATCCCCAAAACATTGAATATATTGAAAACTGCAGAAGTAGTTAATGCCTCCGCCTCGGATGGAGGTCGGATGGTCGGACAGAGAAAGGGGCTGCGATAGCACCCCCAACTTCGTTGGAAATTGCGCTAAAAATAGGCAAAGAGGAGGCGCTATAAAAACAGGCCATGTAAATTGATGAGATTGAGTGGTAGATATGAAGCAAAATGAAGAGGAAAGAAATGGAGACTTCAAGAAGGGAGGTATAAAGTGAATGCGCGTACTTAGGAGAAGTTTTATAAGCAGGTATGACGAATGGCGGGGGTGAAGAGATTTGAGGATATATGTAGGTGAAAGAAACGGGATGTGAAGGGGGGGTTAAGAATCGAGAGGGAAATGTACAGCAATTGAAAAAGAGCGATTCCTGAGAGAAAGGATCAATCAACTGTGTGGAAGACGCAAAGGGGGCTTAAAGAGAAGGTAAAGAAGTACAAAGTAGCACTGCCACAATATGGATTGTGGGAGGGGGGGAGGCCCTAAAGGTTTTTAAACTCAAAACAGTTGAAAGACTCTGGGATATTATATTTGCGACTTTGTTTTTAGTTTACGAGTATTACATCCTGTAAGCTTTTTAGCTGGCTGGGAGACTGGTTAAGGTCTCTTCGTCACGGCTACACCCCTCACATAAGGTCTACTCGCCATCTTCTTTTGGTTTACAGATGCTATTACTGGGTCTTCATGGACATAGCTAAAACAGTATCATCTGCAAACGTGCCAGTTGTGGTGGAATCTGATGTGTATATCTGATATAAAATTGGCCCTTAGACACTGCCTTAAGGGACTCCCTATTTGATGTCTTTATAAATGAACAGAAGGCTCTTAAGAACTCGATAAAGGTCTCTTAAACACTTATCTTTGTTTATATAAACAATGCTCTTATAAAGCTTCAGACCTTTAAAGCCTCTCCACAGTCCTTGGAGTCTCCTGAAAACCCTTGGGACCAGGGCCGGACTGGGTGGGTAAGGGCCCCGGGCGCTCCATGACCAAAAAGGCTCATGGACCCCCCCCCCCCATCCGAAAAAGAAGACAAGGGATTTGCAGATTTTTTTAATTGTAGGTATTTCAAACGACTTGCTGAACAAGAGTATTGCACACGTACGCCGCACAGTTGGATCGAGCGAGGAGGGGGGAGCGCTGCCGCAGCAAGCGAGCGAGGCCAGTTGACACGCTACTCCACATGGCGGAGCCTCGGGTTAGCTGGGTTCAATGAATAAAGAATACCAGGAAGGAGCATTAATCAAGTTGTATACGAGAGAGAGTGCGACGGAAGCCGGCCATTTGCAAAAGCCACTTATGAGTCATTTTTGTTGTGACTGTTGCAGTGACATACAAAGAATGGTTAGTTCTTGTGCTTGTGGTTGCTCCAAAACAGAAAAAAATAAAACTTTGGGAATTACATTTCATGTGTAAGTATTGATACCAATATTATTTTTACATAGTATATGTAAATTTACAAATTTTTTATCGGAATGTAGTTTGAGGTTAGTTAAACAAAAGTCATAGGCGGAGTAGACACATGGGGGTTTAGATTGTTTTCGTGTAAAATTCTTTGTAATTGTATCCTTCTACAACTGTAAGGTAGGTACGCCACTGGAACAGGAAACTACTGTCCGCCATTTGCAAAAGCCATCGCGGTCGCACGTATATTGTTGATATGCTCCTTCCTGGTATTCTTTATTCATTGGCTGGGTTAGTGCTTAGTGGGGCCCCGCGACGGAGGCTCCGTTTCGCGGTTCCACGAGGGCCCCGTTAGGGGCCACGCTGGCGCGGGGCCCCGGGCGGCCTTGGCCAGTCCGGCCCTGCTTGGGACTAGTAAAAGACTTTTGGAAAATCTTGGCAGGTTTAAAATACCTCTAGGATTTGGATAATTTAATAGCTAATAAAAGCTATGCTTCACATCAGTACAGAGGTACTGGCAGACATGCAACAATAATAAAAATGAGATACAAAGACTGTACAGATATACAGAGTGAGCAACAAAGATTGAAGCGTGCCGCTTCAGCTAAATTGGCAATGTGCCGCTCATAGCATATGCTGATTTGATACAAGATACGAAATACGAATAGACGCACGTCACCGTGACAGCGCAGAACGTCATTTTCGTATACAACTCCATACAAAGAAGGTAGTTTTGATATTAATAGGAACAAGCGGTGATGACGCACGCTTCAATCATTGTTGCTCACATTGTACAAAGTCAGCAGTATTGACAATAATCAAGGATGCCACCACTAAATTAAACCCCCCACTCCCCAAACTGACAGTCTTTAAAGTCCTTCGGTTTAAACTTCTTCAGTGAGGGAGGCAAGTCGGTCCGACACTCCAAGTATTCCGGATACGACCAGTGGACTTCGACGCTATCCGGCCGAGTCTTAATCGTCTTGCTGTGCTCTCGATTGTACTTCTCGACCCACGACTCTAAGGTGGCCACCTCGGGCATCTCCTGCGTGCGACACGCCGCCTCGTAGTCCTCCATCGCGACTGCAACAGTCGTATTAATCGACGGAAATACGTTACACAATCGTTACTGCGCTGCTTCAGCTTCCACAGGTCCTCCGAGCTGTAATGCGTGTACTTGCAGTTGCCGGCGAATTGGCACTCGCCGTGCTGAATGTACCTTCGACAGGAGGTCTTCGTCGACTCGTCGGCGAGGATCGCGCGCGGATCTGTGGAGGGAAACTTGAGAGTGTTTGTGCTAAAGTGGGGAGGAACCTAACCTCTGTGCTGTTCATAGTGTAACTTGCGTAGTTTGATGTGGAGGGAGCTGGTGAGATGCTTCTTGCGTGCCTCCAAGTCGTCCTTAAACGTTTTATCGCAATAGTCGCAGTAATACCTCCAGCCCATCACAAAAACGATAAATCACACGGAACCGAGACATACACAACAAATTGTGCGAGTGAACTAATAACCCGCCTACGTTTATTGTGGTGGAGTTAGAGTTGGGCGCGGGCTGGAGGCAATATCCCGTAATATATCGTCACTTATCCTGTGTGGAGGGAAGATTCAAATGATAGGGTGGGCACGTCACTTTCTTCAGCCCAGTGCGAGGAAGGCTTCCAGAGGGTGCGAAGAAACGTGAAGAAAGCTTAAAGGAATCGCGAAGAAAAATTAGAAAAGACCTAAGGAAGCGTACAGAATCATGAAGTCGTGAGGGAGCAGGGTACGGCTCGCTCGGCATTAAAATAGAGTAATAGAGTAGATCTGTTATTTTTCGATCGACAGATACAGATTTGCACTCATTTAGTCACCCTGTCAGACCTCCAGTCTGCCTAGGTCTTCATTCCCTCTCCTTTTTGACATGGTCCACATCATCCTCTCGCTTTCGATTCTAATCCTACGCCTCCTTCAGACTTTCTCAACACTATCTAAGCCACAAAACGTCAAAGTATTTCAAATGTTGCAGTTCAAACCTCCCCCTCCCCTCTCTTTCCTCAAACTTTACTTACGTTCCTCCACATCTTTATCAGGGTTTTTGAAAGTCTGCTTCACACTCATTTCGCATTCCCACATTAATTCTGATCATGGCTGTAGATCTTCTTAACCCTCCCCCTTTTATATGCTCTCTTTAAACTCCGCCCACACGTTTTACACGCGAACATGCGTTCCCTCTTCTTCACTTGCCCCTTACGCTTCCTTCAATCCTTCCCCTTTATATCTGCTTCGTGCTTATTCAATGGATTACGCTCTCATGATTTCTTCGCGATCGTCTTTAGGTGTCTTCTCGGTTTTCTACTCGTTTTCTCACGCTTCACTGGAGACGTGTTCACGCACATTTCAAGTCGATTTCTCACCCCTTCTCATTTTTCGTTTGTTTACTCTAGAGTTTTCACCCCCTCCGCCCAGACACCCTTTTTCTGATATTACATCCTCCTGATGCTTCCCATACGCCAGCTACATTTTCCTAACGCATACTCGCACCGCATTATATTCTCCTAACAAACGAAAACAAAGCTCTTGAACGTTTAGAAAAAGACCTCCTCGTGGATCGTGTCATGGAAAAATGATCTCTCAATAATCTGCTTGAATTTCTGATAACCTGATCCACCAATTTTGGGAGTATCAAAAAAATAGAATACCAGTAAAGCGTTAAACTTTGTTGCTGTTATCCTCACATAAAATTTTTATAAGAAAACCATGTGTCAGGAGAACATAATATCAGATACCTTACGTTTAATTTTGCGTCTTACATTAGTGTGATGTTAATACAAACTTTTTAAAATAAATATTTGGTGTTTCTGCTCCCAATTCACGTAGTTGCAAAATAATCTCTGGCTACCAGGAGAACATAATCTATGAAACGCTTTATTTTCGTTTAAACCAAGAGAATATTTTATACTAGGAGGTGTTTTCTTAATTCATATTATCTGTTGTAGGAGTTTTCTGGCTGCCAAGAGAACATAATTCATTAGGCGAACATAACAGTGCATTTTACACCTTCATGATATTATCTTCTCTTAAGCGAACAATTTGGTATCAGGAGAACCAATCGGAAGAAGCATCTTGTAATTCGTTTCATGTGAAACTTTAAAACAAAACGTTGTTAACAAAGTCACTTTGATCAACAAAGACCATCGCTTTTTTTTACTGATTTTGTTTAAGTGGTCTACAAACAACCCTCCAAGTGCTTATACAAAAGTCACCCCCTGCTATTTTCAGATTAAGAATTTTTTTTAGAAATTCGGTCTTACTGATTAATTCCGTTTGTATTGAGAAGGGTGTAACTTTTGTAGTGCCCCAAATCTATCGAGTTTTTTGGGCGATTTTGTTTAAATAGTCTACAAACAACCCTCCAAGTGCACATACAAAAGTCACCCCCTGCTATTTTCAGATTAAGAATTTTTTTTAGAAATTCGCCCTTACTGTTTAATTCCGTTTGTATTGAGAAGGGTGTAACTTTTGTAGTGCCCCAAATCTATCGGGTTTTTTGACTGATTTTGTTTAAGTGGTCTACAAACAACCCTCCAAGTGCACATACAAAAGTCACCCCCTGCTATTTTCACATTAAGAATTTTTTTTAGAAATTCGGTCTTACTGATTAATTCCGTTTGTATTGAGAAGGGTGTAACTTTTGTAGTGCCCCAAATCTATCCGGTTTTTTGACTGATTTTGTTTAAGTGGTCTACAAACAACCCTCCAAGTGCTTATACAAAAGTCACCCCCTGCTATTTTCAGATTAAGAATTTTTTTTAGAAATTCGGTCTTACTGATTAATTCCGTTTGTATTGAGAAGGGTGTAACTTTGGTAGTGCCCCAAATCTTCCGGTTTTTTGACTGATTTTGTTTAAGTGGTCTACAAACAACCCTCCAAGTGCACATACAAAAGTCACCCCCTGCTATTTTCAGATTAAGAATTTTTTTTAGAAATTCGCCCTTACTGTTTAATTCCGTTTGTATTGAGAAGGGTGTAACTTTTGTAGTGCCCCAAATCTATCGGGTTTTTTGACTGATTTTGTTTAAGTGGTCTACAAACAACCCTCCAAGTGCACATACAAAAGTCACCCCCTGCTATTTTCAGATTAAAAATTTTTTTTTGAAATTCGGTCTTTCTGATTAATTCCGTTTGTATTGAGAAGGGTGTAACTTTTGTAGTGCCCCAAATCTATCCGGTTTTTTGACTGATTTTGTTTAAGTGATCTACAAACAACCCTCCAAGTGCACATACAAAAGTCACCCCCAACAATTTGGTATCAGGAGAACCAATCGGAAGAAGCGTCTCGTAATTCGGTTCATGGGAAACTTTAAAACAAAAACGTTGTTAACAAAGTCACTTTGCTCAACAAAGACCATCGCTTTTTTCAATGTTAATTATCTGTAATGATTAATTGCATTGCATTACATTAATTAATCGTCAATAGAATAATTTATTACTTCCGCTATTTAATTTAATTACTTTGTCTTACATGGCAGGTGAGAAAATAACACCAGGCGCCCCTCCCCCCGTTGTTTTTCGTAAATTACACAGAATAGGTAAGCAATGGAAACAATTGAAAGATGAAAAAACGCGCGTCGTTTTCATGACCTACTACTATTGTTTAAAATTTAAATGAAAAGAATAATACATGGCCAACTATGGTTTTCCTTACAAAATGTGCTATTACTCAACAATTATTTGATCGCACTATCTTTATTTTTTTGTTTGCACAACTTTCCAAAAGTTCTTCATAATGAAGCCATAACCATGGAAACACTTGTTATTGCAAGATATCGAAATACGCGTGAATTTTTTCTCAAAAAATAAAGAACGGATTTAATTTGGCAATTATGTCCTCATTTAGGCGTTAGCGCTGAAGTTTTGTAGCCTTTAAAATCTTTAAAAGTGATGCGAGGCATTCGAGATGTAAAGCAACTTTTAAAAGGTTATGAAAGGCCTTTAACTACTCATAAATACTCCTGAAGACAGTGTCTTAAACACTCGGATTTCCAACAGCCTTAAATATGAAGTGCTTATTCAAAGTTAACTTGTTCTTTTTAAGGACTACTCGCCCTATACATTTCGGGAAGGGACCTCTGAACGTATGGAATTTTTCCCAAAAATTTTATGATCTTCTTTTCCTGCAATCATTATCAGTATTTTCCACAATTAAACTATTCGTAAATTCATCGAAATAAAGTCTTCGTATGGAGTGATGGGACAGAGAGTGTACAGAAGAGAGAAATATATACAGAATAATGACGGAGAATGAAAGAAAAGGAAAGATTGAGGTGAAGGTGTTGAGAGAATAGAAGGAAATGTATAGAAAAAAAGAAGAATATGAAACACAAAAAATTGAAATAAAAACAGAGGACTTTGGAAGATGATAAACGAAGAAAAAGGGAAAAGTGGCAAAGAAATACGCATAGAGGACTGGAAGCAGTACTATCAGGAAAGCAGGAGAAAAAGGAGGTGTTTAAGGAAGTCGGAGGGAGACCAATGCAAAGATATTGAGATACCTAATAAGAGAGTGGGTGCCGAAATACCTTAGGGAGGAAAGACAAAACATTAAAATAATGGTGAGGTTTAGATGTGGAAACGAGGAGAGAGTTAAGGAGAAGTCGAGAGAAGAAGAAGAAGAAAGGATGATGAACACATGTTATGCGAATGTGAAGATGTAGGAAGAACAAGGGAAGACATACTGGCAGAGGGGTGGGGGGAAGAGTAGAGAAACTCATGAGGATGATTATAGAAAAAAAGGAAAGAAACACATACAGTAGTTGATTGATTGATATTGTGGAAGAAATGACTGGCAGCTATATATAGTGGGAGGGGAGTACATGAGATTGAAAAAGGTTATTGAAATACTCTGTAAACTTATTAAATGCACAAAGATGACGGACTGTCCGCCATCTGTAGTCCAAACGAAACAGCCACCTCCAGAAAAAACGTCCCGCGCGTCTCTCTACAGCGTACGGCAAAAGTAACAGTACATAATTTATAACGGATGTCTATTATTAAAGCTCACGTGACAACGCCAACTGAAACTTCTCTGTTTACATTTTACATTCAGTATGTGTAACGTGTACGTGTTGTGTGCATGTAACGGGAGGAATGCGTGTTTATTTTTAATTTTTCCGTTCTTATCCCCCTTTTAATTAAAAATTATGTGAAAATGTGAGAGAGAAAGTTTCAAAATTGGCGGGGTGTTTTTTGGAACAAAACAATTCAAATCTTAGGTGAGATTTTGAATTCTGTTTGGGATTAATGTATAATTAAGATAATAAAGTGGATTGTTCTCATAAGTTTTTAATGGTTGATATTTATTACGTGCAAACTGCCACTTAAACCCATTTAATGGGCGTATTTATACAGGGTGGATTTTTGGGTTTTCACAATAGCACAGTGACTCACGCCCGCAAACTATTCGCAGTTGTTGACCTGAGATCACCTACACTCTACTTTCGTTATCATCATCATCCGGCATAATACGATGCATGGCATTCTTTCTCGCCAGGTATACAAAAGTGCAGAGGGAGCGATTTCCATCTCGCTCGGAGCGGTTTAAGTATATACAGGGTGCGTAAAGCACCCACCGGTACGGCACCCAATTCTTGCGCACCTCCACGAGTGTGTAAGATATTAATTTGTTTTTTTTTCAAGGGCGTGACGTCAACGCATTAGATAACTAAAGGCTAACTTGGTTTTTATTCGTCCATAATTTTAATGCGTTCGTACGTGAATAAAAAACATTTACATTAGCGATAAATTTATATTCACAACGACCTTTGAAAGAATGCGAGAAGCAATCTTTTAAAAGTTAAATGATAGTAGGCTGTGCGCTGCGAGTTCTCCGATCCCGAAAGTGCTGTGTAAGTGAAGTTAATTGTATACATTGGCAGTACGAGCAGAGCAAAATTCAATCGAAATGAATGCTGCTGTCTCAATTTTTAAACGTAATCGGCGTACGAAGTTAGCAATAAATATGCAAGAATATGCATATGAACTGGAAAATCCCACAATAGTTTCCTTTAAGACTGCTATCGAAACAGAAAATTATAATTTAAGGGTTGATTAGTGCATAAACACCTCCTAAATATTTGTTACTGCATTAGCATATTTTTGCATATTTGTTGCTGTAAGGTTAAAATACCAATACTACATGGATTTCCCGTAGTTTAAGGCTCTACGCGTCGCCAACAGTTTCGAAAAGCTCCCAAAACCACCTTAAATTTTTTAAAAGCTGTGGGGACCTTAGAATCCTATTAGATTCTTTAATAACTGATTCTTGTAAAGGTCTTTAAAACTATTCACGAGCTTTAATGGTTCCTGAGTGCATTTAAAACTGTTTACGAGTCACCAACAATTTCGAAAAGCTCCCAAAACCACCCTAAATTTTTCTAAAGGCTGTGGAGATCTTAGAATCCTATTAGAGTCTTTAATAACCGATTCTTGAAGCGCCTTCAAACTCTGCACGGTTTTTAAAGGTTCTTGAGTGCATTTAAGGCTCTTTACGCGTCGCCAACAGTTTCGAAAAGCACCCAAATCTTCCCTAAATTTTCTAAAGGCTGTGAGAGACCTTAGAATCCTATTAGTCTTTAATAACCGATTCTTGAAGCGCCTTCAAACTCTGCACGGTTTTTAAAGGTTCTTGAGTGCATTTAAGGCTCTTTACGCGTCGCCAACAGTTTCGAAAAGCACCCAAATCTTCCCTAAATTTTCTAAAGGCTGTGAGAGACCTTAGAATCCTATTAGTCTTTAATAACCGATTCTTGAAGCGCCTTCAAACTCTGCACGGTTTTTAAAGGTTCTTGAGTGCATTTAAGGCTCTTTACGCGTCGCCAACAGTTTCGAAAAGCACCCAAATCTTCCCTAAATTTTCTAAAGGCTGTGAGAGACCTTAGAATCCTATTAGTCTTTAATAACCGATTCTTGAAGCGCCTTCAAACTCTGCACGGTTTTTAAAGGTTCTTGAGTGCATTTAAGGCTCTTTACGCGTCGCCAACAGTTTCGAAAACACCCAAATCTTCCCGAAATTTTCTAAAGGCTGTGAGAGACCTTAGAAACCTCCAAGAATCTTTAATAACTGATTCTCTTTACGAGCTTTAAAGATTACAAGTGCATTTAAGGGTCTTTACGAATCACCAAATCCTCCCTACATTTTTCTAAAGGCTGTGAGAGACCTTAGAATCCTACTCCTACCTCCCTGAATTTTTCGAAAGATTACGAAAGACCTTAAAAGCATGTAAGAATCTTAAAAACTGATTCATGAAGCGCCTTAAAAACTCTTCACGAGCTTTAAAGGTTCCTAAGTGCGTAAAGGTCCTAGGAGCCTTAACTTATTCTAGTTTCGCGGCGTACACATCATTTTGGAACAAAGAGCCGAAATGTTTGGTTATTTTTGTATTAATGTAAGAAAATACGGGGGAGAAAGGCCTTAAAAATAGACCCGTAAATGCGGTGACCCCGTTTAGCAGATCTTCGATCCGAATGGCCATCTGCCAAAAATGGGGACGCCCCGTGTCCCATTGTGCTTGCCGAGCGCGTTCCGCCATCCCCAAATTTGATCTCAATTACCAACAGCGCTCTCCGAACCGCGTCATTAAAAAGACATGAACATCCGCTTCCGGTTGACCGAACTTAACAACAATTTATGTAAATTAACCGAAGATCATTTTGCCGCCCACTGCGCGAAGCCCCGCAAAGACAGTGTAGTGTACGTATTATTTTTAATCAAATTGGACAATGTAGATGACACCCCCCTCCCCCCCAGCAACCCGTGATTCGTGTGTTAAATACACTTAACCTATGACGTCATTCATACAAGAGCTCGTAAATTAATCATCTCGACTATTGATATAATTAATTAAAAGCCCCTCCGACAATTTGTACCCAATTAAGTGGACCAATCGCGACTGATACGCCGCAATTGTTAACATCAACACTTCCCTGGGATAATAAACAAATTGTGTAAATTAATGCGACCGCGGGTAAAAGGTGCTAAATAATGACAGTTTAATTTACGCAAATCAGTCTTCTTGCGAAGCTGTACATCTGGAAAAACATGAGAGGCTGTCGAAAATAGGAGAAAACCTTCGGAAATTAACTAATTCAAAATTGCTGTACGGGAGTAAAATTAACACACCTAGAGAAAGAGGGAAAGGATGCTGAGAGAGCGAGGATAGCTAGGAGAAAACTTCGTAATGAAGGTGAAGAAATCGAAGATGTTGGAAATGTGAAAGAAATAGAAGAAACCGAGAATTAATTTTAATTTCAGCAGAAATTAATAATTATGCTCTTAATTGCATTCAAAATTGAATCTAAAAATTAGGAATTATCAGCCGATGTGTCACAAATATTCTGTATGCCGATCTTTAAATTACAATTAATTAGACCGTACACTTCTAGTGCTGTCAGCGGAAATTAGGCTCTAATTGCATTCCAAAATTCAATTTATAAATTAGGAGTTATCAGTCGATGTCTCATAAAAATCCTGTACGCCAATCTTTAAATTGAAATTAATTAGACAGCATACTTGTAGCGCTGCCAAGGGGAATTAGGCTCTAATTGCATTCAAAATTCAATCTAGAAATTAGGTCTTTTAAATTGAAATTAAATAGGCCACATACTTGTAGTGCTTTCAACTGAAATTTGCTCTAATCTTGAAATTCAAATTGATTATTCAGCATACTTGTAGCGCTGTCAGGGGAAATAGAATTCTAAGGTCTCCACAGCCTTTAGAAAAATTTAGGGTGGTTTTTCGAGCTTTTCAAAACTGTTGGCGACTCGAAAAAAGCCTTAAATGCACTCGGGAACTTTTAAAGCTCGTGAAAAATTTAAAGAGCGTTTCATGAATCTGTTATTAAAAACTCTAATAGGATTCTAAGGGAGGATTTGAGTGCTTTTCGAAACTGTTGGCGACGCGTAAAGAGCCTTAAATGCACTCAAGAACCTTGAAAAATCGTGAAGAGTTTTAAAGGCGCTTCAAGAGTCGGTTATTAAAGACTCTAATAGGATTCTAAGGTCCCCACACTCCACAGTCTTTACAAAAATTTAGGAAGGATTTGGGAGCTTTTCGAAACTGTTGGCGCCACTTAAAAAGCCTTAAATGCACTCGGGAACCTTTAAAGCTCGTTTAAAATTTAAAGAGCGTTTCAAGAATCGGTTATTAAATACTCTAATAGGATTCTAAGGTCTCTCGCAGCCTTTAGAAAATTATGAGAGGATTTGGGAGCTTTTCGAAACTGTTGGCGAGGCGTAAAGAGCCTTAAATGCACTCAGGAACCTTTAAATCTCGCGAAGAGGTTTACAGGCGCTTCAAGAAGCGGTTATTAAAGAGTCTAATAGGATTCTAAGGTTCCTCACAGCCTGTAGAAGATTTAGGGAGGATTTGGAAGCTTTTCGAAACTGTTGGCGACTCGTGAAGAGGTTTAAATGCACTCGGAACCCTTTTAAAGCTCGTAAAGAGGTTTTAAGGCGCCTGAAGAATTAGTTATTAAAGATTCTTAATGCTTTATTGCGAGTTTTATTGTCTCTCATAGCCTTAGCAAAAATGTAGGGGGGGATTTGGGAGCTTTTAGAAACTGTTGGCGAGTCCTAAAGAGCCTTGAGTGCACTCGGGCATCTTTAAAGTCCGCGAAGAGTTTTAAAGGCGCTTCATGAATCAAACTTACTGGATTCTAAGACCTCTCACAGCCTTTAGAAAAATTTTGGGAGGACTCTTAAAAAGCCTTAAATGCACTTTGGAACCTTTAAATCTGGTGAAGAGTTTCAAAGGCGCTTCAAAAATCAGTTATTAGAGATTCTTACAGGTTTTTAAGGTCCCGTCGGCCTTTAAAAGAATATACCGAGGATTTGGGAGCTTTTCGAAACTGGGGACTTTTAAAAGGCCTTAAATGCACTCAGGAACCTTTAAAGCTCGTGAAGAGTCGAAGTCTTGAGAAAACTTTGGAGGAAGCTCTTCGAAGTTGAAGATGACTGTTAAGCAACCTAAGGGTTTCAAAGGCTCTTCAAGATTCGGACTCAAGTTTCTAAGGTCTCTAGCAGCCTTTAGATGGCAATGTTTAGGATGTAAGCGAATTTTGAAAAGGCAACGATCTGTTTATGAGTGGTAATTAACGTTCTGGGAAGTTAATTAAACTAGGCCACTTACAATAATAACAACGCGACCCTTTTTTATTGGTTTAATGTGGGGTAATTGCACAATTTTCTATAAATGACCCAATCTGCGATAATTACGATCAAAAACAACGGAGAGCGACGATAAGGAAATCGTTTACAATTGATACGACACCCTCTGTCTCACTATTTCGCAAGAGGCGACTGTGAGAAAGTGCCTTTGTTACGCAATCAACCGCACACATGCCGCAGTGACAATCGCAAGTTGCGTGCCACCTGCCTAATTTCGATGTCTTTGTTTCAGATATGTCGGGCGTTGCGTTTAATACGACAACTGGAGGATCAGTTTTTAATTCCAATACGAACGCGCCGGGGGGAGTCGAACTGACCGAGAGCGGCGGAAGGGCCTTGAAGTTACAAACCGACGCGCCGCATCTCGTTAGCCTTGGCGGGGGGCGGTTGAGTACGGCCGTTACGCTGCACCCCATACCTGCAGGTATGCCATTTATATGCATTCTTTTGTGCAGATACCCACCGGTTTATTTAATTGCAACTGTCGATTCTTCCCTCTTTCCAACGATCGATCTTTGGCAAACCGGGTTTTGTTCAAGAATTGGTGCCCTCAAGACTTTTGAAAGTCTTCCATTGCTCATAAATAATGATGAAATTCACTCACGAAGGCGTTTAAGATGTATGCGCCTGCAAATACTTAAAATACCAAAGGACCCATATGGGATCCTTGTGGCGCCCCACAAAAAAATTCTACGAAGCAAAGTGCGTATGGGACAGAACGTACGTGGACATTGTGGACAAGCGAATGATTAATTTTCTTAGTCTTCACCGATGCCTCTAGCACAGACAAACGTCAACTTTTCGATATCTTCCTGTCGGCTTCTAAATTGAGATGCCCAGAATATGCAGCTCTCTCGCTTTTGCAAATATTCCGAGGGTTCATCAACAGAAGCACTAAAAAGACGTCAATTTATCATCGCTACGGGTAATTTTGACGAATATTTTTAGATTTGTTCGCGAATTCCGCGCGTGCTGCGAAGAGAACACTCGAAGAAGGTGCGCGCCTCTAATTACGACTTTTGGCAGAAAACCTATCTCCACATTTAACGAGTTTCCGCCCGCTTTTTTTCTGTTTGGTTACTGACACGTTCTGGCGGATGCGGCTGTTTCTTTTACTTTTTAGTGGCGTCTTCGCGCCGGAAATAGAAACGCCATTAGGAAGATGCCATTATTTTCATTTTACAAATGTCGGCCGCTGGAAGAGCTAATTGTGTCAACAAATCATTAACATTCTAATTTACGCGTTAGTTGGCGTGATTACACATCGATTTTTAAATAGATTGTTGTTTATTTGCCCGTTTTTAATAATTAGCCTGACTGGATAGGCAACCAAGCTTGCAGAGTCGAGTGTGATGGGTTGCTGTGATGCTTACAGGTCGGATCACCTTAGGAAGTAGTCCTGGAGTGGATATTACAGTTCAGGGAACTGGGGTGGAACCTCTTCACTGCCACATAGAAAACATAGGGGGCGTTGTCACACTTTACCCACTGTCAGAGCATACATCCATTGATGGAGTTCCTGTGACAACCCCCACCAGGCTGTTGCAAGGTGAGAACTTAACAATTTAAAATCGAACTGCAATGTGTCGTATCCAGGTGTGATGTTAACGATAGGTCGCTCAAACTACATGCGCTTTAATCACCCGGCCGAAGCTCAATTAATGAAATCCGTGCTGCCAAACGCTCGAATCTCAATGGCGCCCATCCGTTTCGACCTCGAAGCGCAAGAAGAGCAAAAGTACGCGAAGAAACCGCCGACGATCCCACGCAAAAATTCCCACGATCTAATCGCCGACGACGTAGAGCAGCCGACCAGCATACAAATGAAGGTTTCCAAATTCGAGTACCTCGCGGCGCAAAATTTCAAAAAATCAATCTCGCCCAAGGTGTTCTCCTCGAATCTCGTCACGGTGAACACCCCCGCCAGGGACGTACTCGGCCGCGCGCCGCCCGACATCCAGGACTTCGCCAAAAACCTCCACCACTCGGCGGTCAACTACTCGGACTCGAGCTACAACGACAAGCAAAAGAATAAGACGCCCGACCGGCAGTTCTTCGGGCGCAAGTCACCGCAGTACGCGAACGTGTCGATTAACGACGGGAAGAGTATCAACAATCGGGTGGCCCTGTACGAGAACGGTTGCGTTCCCAAACATCCCAACGTCTACCTTAACCTGAACATGGACCAGCAGCCGAAGAACGAGCTGAATAACATTAGCAACAAGAGCGTTAACGTTCAGAAACCGATCAACACGAACCGAGCGGTCGCTCCGCCTTCGGCCGGCCTCGGTCGGAATCCGTCGCCGAGCTACAACCGAAACCCGCCCCCTTACGTTCGGAGCGTCACCCCGAGCCCGGTGCTATCGAGTCCGCCCGTGAGTCTGCACAAACGAAGCGGTTCGTTCGACGACGGCGTGCAACGAAATAATGAGTCGGAAATGCGCAGAAATCAGGTACGTTGCAAGTGTCAATACCCATTGTCAACTGACAGATGTCAAAATGTCATTTGACAATGGCATTGCTAAATTATTGCGTGAATTGGAATAGTATCAGTTTACCAAAAATCAATTGATAGATAGAAAATGTCAATTGACAAGTGTGATTTGACAATAGCATTGGCAAATGAGTGTTAATTGGAATAGTATTCTTTCACAGATACTAAACAGACAGAAAGTGTCAATTGACAGATAATAGTACCGATTGCCAGTGACACATGCAAAGTCTACATTTTAATTAACAAAATAATTGTTGTACATTTTTCCTCTGTTTAAACGAATGAAGTCTAATTTCCGTTGCAGGCGCTAAAAAGAAGCGTCTTAATTAATTTTTACTTCAAGGCTTGCGTACAGAATTTTTTGGATCGCTTAATTTCCGAAGGAGATTTCTTAATTTTCCCTTGATTTTTAAATTTACAATTGAAGCCTAATTTCCGCTTAAAGTGCTTCAAATTTGCAGCTCATTTAAATTTAACTTAACGATTAACGTAGAGAAATTTTTTGGATCAGTTAACTTTCAAGGATTTTTCTTATCCCTTGGTTTTTAGATTTAATTGTGAGTCCAAATTGAAGCTTTTTTTCCTTGAAAGTGCTTCAAATTTGCAGCTCAATTAAAGTTAACGTAAGGATTAACGTAGGGAATTTTTTGGATCAGTTAATTTTCAAAGGATTTCTTCTAATTTTGTCCCTTGATTTTTAGATTTAATTTTGATTACAATTGAAGCCTAATTGCCGCTGAAAACGCTTTAAATTTGCAGCTCAATTAAATTTAACTTAATGAATAACGTACAGAATTGTTTGGATCACTTAATCTTCGAAGGATTTCTCCTAATTGTATCCCTCGATTTTTAATTTTGATTTGGACTACAATTGAAGCCTAATTTCCGCTGAAAACGCTTTAAATTTGCAGCTCAATTAAATTTAACTTAAGGATTAACGTAGGGAATTTTTTGGATCAGTTAATTTTCAAAGGATTTCTTCTAATTTTGTCCCTTGATTTTTAGATTTAATTTTGATTACAATTGAAGTTTAATTTCCGCTGAAAACGCCTTTAAATTTGCAGCTAAATTAAATTTAACTTAAGGAATAACGTAGGGAATTTTTTGGATCAGTTAATTTTCAAAGGTTTTCTTCTAATTTTTATCCCTTGATTTTTAGATTTAATTTTGATTACAATTGAAGCCTAATTTCCGCTGAAAACGCTTTAAATTTGCAGCTCAATTAAATTTAACTTAATGATTAATGTACAGAATTGTTTGGATCACTTAATCTTCGAAGGATTTCTCCTAATTGTATCCCTTGATTTTTAATTTTAGTTTTGACTACAATTGAAGCCTAATTTCCGTTTAACGTGCTCCAAATTTGCACCCCAATTAAATTTAACTTAACGATTCACGTACAGAATTGTTTGGATTAGTTAAATTTCAAAGGATTTTTCCTAATTTTATCCCTTGATTTTTAGATTTAATTTTTAGTTCAATTGAAGCCTAATTTCCGCTGAAAGTGCTTCAAATTTGTACCCCAATTAAATTTAACTTAACGATTAACGTAGAAAAATTTTTGGATCAGTTAATTTTCAAAGGATTTCTTCTAATTTTGTCCCTTGATTTTTAGATTTAATTTTGAGTCCAATTGAAGCTTTTTTTCGCTTGAAAGTGCTTCAAATTTGCAGCTCAATTAAATTTAACTTAACGATTCACGTACAGAATTGTGTGGATTAGTTAAATTTCAAAGGATTTTTTCTAATTTAATCCCTTGATTTTTAGATTTAATTTTTAGTCCAATTGAAGCCTAATTTCCGCTTAAAGTGCTTCAAATTTGTAACTCAATTAAAAACTTGCGCACAGAATTTTTGGATCACTTAATTTTCGAAGGATTTCTCCTAATTTTATCACTAGATTTCTAGATTTTGAATGCCTAATTTCATGCTTAGGTACTGTTCGTTAATTGATACTATCTCATTCGATATCGCCTGGAAATTCCCACTTAGTACTGTCCAATGGCACTTAGAATCTGTTAATTGTAGTCAATTATTAAATACTGACTATCAATTAACAGATACTCTGTCAACTGACTGATACTAAGGGCGAATAGTCATCAGATAGTAAGTGTCAATCTGTCGAGATGATGCTTGACTACGGCACTGAGCACCCTTGGTTCGAATCTAGCTTTTTGGAAGTGTATACTGTTGGTAGAGCAGCCTTCATGCCTATTGACAGGTACACGACAGAAATCAATCGACAGATGCAAATTTGACAAATTGTGTTACCTGATGTAATAATGTCAGTTGACAGTATTTGTATTATTATTATTATTGACAAATTCTAATGTCAATTGCCAATTGACAGTTATCAGATTATACTTGAATTGGTAGATGAAATGTCAGTAGGTAAATGTGCTTAGTATTTGTCATTATGGCACATTTCACTTTTAAGTTGACACTTTTTTGTCAATATTTATTGGCAGTTGGCAGTCACAAATTGTCAAATGACAGTAAGACACGATAGAAAAACCCGAAATGATTCGTGGTTTTTTGATTGCATTGGAAAAGATCCCACCGGAAGGCGTGTAAATACTTCCTCTCCATACGTAATCTACTGATAAGAGCTTATCAATTCGCAAATATAACACTCACCTTTTGGTGGTGGTTAGTTTTTTTTAGTTTGAATTGGTGCTTACAGGCGCATGTCGATCGTTTGAAAGAGCAAGAGATTGAAAAGGCCGAACAGGCCCGTCTCGAAGAAATTTTGAACATGTGCGCCGAATACGAAAGGCAAGTGCAGTGGGAAAAAACCAACAAACCGATTCCTAACCGCATTAAAACAAACGGCTCGCTACCACGGGATAAAAGGCAATGTCCGCCGAGCCCATTCGGTTCACCATCGCCGAATCACGCGACGCCATCACCAGGTTCGAAGGATAGTCCGATATTTAAATTCGACTCCGATCTACGACCGAATAACCACAACTACGAAAATGTGACGATTAACAATGCGAGCCCGCGTCTCTACTATGAAAATATTGAGGTTGCTCATCCGACACCCAACACCTTCAGTCAATATGAGAATATTACGATTAGTCACGAAACCAGCAGTCCTTACCCCCACTCTCCTCGGACACGAATTAAGACCATCCCAACCGTTAACAGAGAACCGTAAGTGCCTCTAATCATGAGAGTATTCTATCACCAAGTACAATTTCAGCTCCCCGAAGGACGCAGCTCAGCTTATCGATACCAAATTCGCCATCGTCAACGCCGAACAGTACCTTCTCCAGAACAAAGGCTCCGAAAATGGGGACAACGTCGACGTGACGACGCGGAAGCCCACACCGACGAAGTTCCTCCACCCCATCGACAGTTTCCCATCCTACCACCACGACTCGTACGATCGCAAGGCGTCCCACGAGAGCGACAGGAGACGAATGGAAACGCTCAAGCGCGAAAAGCAGGAGATACTAACGGCGATGGCGCACATCAAGCGAAAAATGGCGGAGATCGAGCTGCAGGAGGAGGAGTTGAATCGCGAGCTCGAAATGGAACGGGCGCTCATCATAGGCGAGCACAAGTCGAAGCTGGTCGAAATCGACGAGCTCGAGAGGCGCAAGCAGAAGCTCGCGGAGGGCGCGCGCGAAATTGAGCGAAAAATGGAGGACTGTCAGGTGACGCAAGTCGAGCACCAGGAGAACTGCCGGCGGAAGCTCGAGCACGCTCAGGACAGCATGGCCAAGGTCGAGGAGCGGCTGAACTCGGTCGCGAAATCGAGCGACGAGTACCAGGAGATCTTCGAGGAGTTCCTCTGCGCGCAAGAGGTCCTGGACAACGAGCGGAAAACGTTCGAGGATCTCGAGTTTCACCACTTGGAGGAGGAGGCCGACTGGTTGGCGAGTCGCGAGGAAATTCAGCGCGAAATCGTAGACCTCGGCCAGCGGCTCGACGTACTTAGGACGCAGGTCGGCGATCTCGAACAGCAGAAGCTCGACGCGAACACGTGCAGCGCGCGCGAGTCGAAAACGCTCGAAAGGCAGCTGATCAAGTGCGCGCGCAGGCTCGAGGAGCAACGCGGCAAGCTCAAGGCGCTCGAGGCGGAGCTCAACACGTTTGCGAAGGAGGAATCGGACCAGGAGGTCTCGAGCGACAGCGAAAGCGAAAAGGTGCAGCACATGAGCTGCTCCTTTATCGACACGAGCTCGCGGACGAAGAACGGCGACGCGTACGACATGTCCAAGTCGTTCAATGAGAAAATGCTTCAGGAGCACTCCGTTATAGAAGACGGCGTCGGTGAGTTAGTGCGCGCTTGGTTTTGTCGAATTGAGAGTTCCCGTTTCAGCTAGAAGGTGTCCGTCGCAGGACGACATCGATCGAATAAGTAAGGTCACGTCGAACGCCCCCATGAACATTGAGGACGGTCGAGGGTCGTTGGGCAAGAAGACGATTGAGTCGCTGAAGGAGATTGAACGTAATCGGCAGCTGCATTTAGTACAACAAGGTAAAGGTCGCCGCTCTCCAAAAAAAGCTCCCAAACCCCTCCTTTCAGGCTCTCAAGTAATTGAAGAGGAGCGGCGTAGAGTATTGGCGTTAAAGCAACGCGCGCAAGACGAGGTCAGAACGCAGTGGGCGCAAAGGCAGCAGGACTGTTCGTCTTTCACTTCCACCACGTCCGATGAAGCACGTTACAGGTAGGGAAGGTCGGCACGCACTCTGTGTATCAGTCGAGACTGACGGGGACAATCTTATCTAATCTCTGTGTACAAAATTAAACACTGACACATCAATTGCTCGAGTACGTGGGAAAGTGATGGGCGGTGTCGTTAGTTTTGTACAATTTTGGTTAGTTTGTAGTATAGGACGTACCTAGTCGATTTAAAACGAACGGGAGTTTTGTGTTGGAAAAGTGGGAGGGCAGTGAAGAAGGGTAGGATCAGGAATCAGGGGGACGCCGGGAGGGTTTGGGAGGATCAGAAAAACGTGGTGAGTCCTCTCATGATCATTGTTTACAAAGAGCCCCCAAATACCTATACATCCTGGGGGATTTTCCGTACGTTCTCACCCCACAACGTTCAAAACCGCCGTCACTCTCATTATAATTCTTCTGGGAGGGCCTGTAATTGTTCCTTATCCTGAGGACATTCCCCTCCCTCAGGCTGATCATGGGAGCGCTGGTGCTGTCAACGTTTTGTTGTAACGAGAACGTAGCACCGGAGGGTGTTTTAAGAAGAAATTGGGGGATTTTCCTGAAGAATGAATCCTCTTAAAAATTGTTTAGGCAATTTCTAGTGGGGTGGGGGGATAGGAATCCCCTGACCACCGGTCGTACGCCCCCCCCCCCAAGGTATAGAACCACTGGCGCTCTCACAATAACTCCTTAGGGAAAACCACCAATTTGTCCTTGGGATAATAAGAAATTGGGGGCTGGATTGTAAACGTTATGGAACGAGAAGGTAGTGCGAATGCCCCCCCCCCCCAGCTGTAAGAAGAAATTGGGGGCATGGCACACTCCTCAGGATCAGAAAAGATTGTGGATCTTCCTAAAGCGTGAATCATCTCATAATCACTGTTTAGGCAGGGGGGGGGGGCAGTGCTACGTTGTCAACGCAAAATGTATGTACCCCCCCTGTTATAAGAAGAAATTGGGGGCACTTGCTAAAGAATGATCGTGAGACAGGACGAGAATGTAGCACCAGAAGAAATTGGTGAATCTTCCTGAAGAATGAATTGTTTAGTCAACCCCAGTTTCTTATTCTGGGGTTATTGCCCTGGTGGTACGTTGTTCTCTCCAAAACTTATAGAACCACTGCCGCTGTCATGATAATTCATTAGGAAAAGCTCTCAATTTGTCTATCTGGGGGACATCGCTCCACGCCGAGTTACGGGGCGTTTAAGGCCATCGACTCTCTCATGATGATTCCTCACCACGAACCTCAGGTATCGAATACTTGAACATGAACGTAGCACGGAATGGCGTGGACCCCCCCCCCTCCCGGTTTTAAGAAAAAATTGGGGGATTTTCCTGAAGAATGATCAAGAGAGCACCGGTGAATGCAAACATTTTGTGACCAGAACCTAGCACCGGAAGGTCTGGGGGTTAGAAATTGTGGCATCTTCCTAGGGAATGATCATGACAGCGCACTACTGGGGGGGTCTGGAATACCCCCCAGTTTTTGGGGGCTCTTAATGAAGAATTATCATGAGGAGAGGTCTTTTGGAAGGTATGGGACACTCCAGAATCAAAAAAAAGTAGTGAACCTTCCTTAAGAATGAATCCGCTCATAATCATTGTTTATGCATTTCTTGTGCTGGGGGGGGGGGTATTCCATACTCCCCAGTGCTACGTTCTCATCCCCAAACGTTTAGAACCACTGGAGCTATAATTATACTTCTTCAGGGAGGGCCCGCGATTTCCTCCCTCCGTGTGATCAAAAAAGCGCTGGTGGCTACAAACGTTTCCTGATGAGCACGTAGCACCGGGGGTCTGGAGGGTATGGAATAAACCCCAGTTACAAGAAGAAATCGGAGACTCTTCCTGAAGAATGACCAGGTGGCTGTAAACGTTTTGAGATAAGAGCGTAGCACCGGGGGTACAAAAAAAACTGGGGGCTGTTAATGAAGAATTATCATGAAAGGACGTCTTCTGGGAGGTATGGAACACTACCCAGAATCATAAAAAATTAATGAATCTTCCTGAGGGAAGAAACCTCTCATAATCATTGTTTATGCAGTCCCCAATTTCTGGCGCCGCCCCCCAAACCCCCCGGTGCTACGTTCTCGTCCCAGAGCTTTTTGGAACCACTCTATAATTACAATTTTTCAGGGAGGGCCCGCGTTTTTTTCCCTCCGTGTGATCAAGAAAGCGCTGGTGGCTACAAACTTTTCTTGATGAGAACGTAGCTCCGGGGGTCTGGGGGGTATAGTTTTAAGAAAAAAGCTGGGAGCTCTTAATGAAGAATTGTCATGAGAGGAGGTACGAAACACTCCCCAAAATCAGAAAAAATTAGGGAATCTTCCTGAAGGATGAATCCTCTCATAATCATTGCTTATGCAGCTCTTAATTTCTTGTGCTATCCAGTGCTACGTTCTCATTCCAAAACGTTTAGAACCACCGGAGCTCTAATTATAATTCTTCAGGGAGAGCCCGCGATTTCCTCCCTCCTGGTGATCAAGAAAGCGTTGGTGGCTGCAAATGTTTTGTGATGAGAGCGCAGCACTGGGGGTATGAGTAATCCAGGTATAAGAAATAACTGGGGGCTCTTCATGAGGAATTATCACGAGAGGAGTTCTTCTGGGAGGTTTGGGACACTCCCCAGAATTAGAAAAAATTCGTGAATCGTCCTGAAGAATGAATCCTCTCATAATCATTGTTTATGCAGACCTCAATTGCTACCTTATTACTCCAAAACGTTTAGAATCACCGGCGCTATAATTATAATTCTTCAGGGAGGACCCGCAATTTCCTTCCTCCGTGTGATCTTGAAAGCGCTGATGACTGTAAGCGTTTTGGAACGAGAGCGTAGCACCGTGGGGGGCCTGGGGGCTCTTAATTAAGAATTATCATGAGAGAAGGTCTTCTGGGAGGTATGGGACACTCACCAGAATCAGAACCTCTTGTGCTGGGGGGTTTCCCACCAGACCCAGACGTTTAGAACCACCGGCCCGGCGCTATAATTAAAATTCTTCAGGGAGGGCCCGCGATTTTCTCCCTCAGTGTAATCAAGAAAGGGTTGGTTTCCTACTGATAACATAGCACCTGGGGTTTGGGAGGTATAGAATAACCCCCAGTTATAAGAAGAAATTGGGGGCTCTTTCTGAAAAATGATCATGAGAACGCTGGTGGCTGTAAACGATTTGGGACGAGAGCGTAGCACTGGGGGGTAGTTTTTTCAAAAAACTGGGGATTTTTATGAAGAATTGTCATGAGAGGAAGTCTTCTGGGAGGTATGGGACACTCCCCAGAATCAGAAAAAATGAGCGAATCTCCCTGAAGAATGAATCCTTTGATAACCATTGTTTAGACAGCTCCCAATTTGGCATTAAAGACCCCGGGTGCTATGTTCTCACCCTAGAATGTTTAGAATCACCGACGCTCTCATAACTATTCGGGAAGGGCCCGCAATTTCTCCTTATCCGGGGAGTATTTCCCTCCCTCCTTGTGATTATGAGGACGGTGGTGGCTGTAAACGTTTTGTGATGAGAATATAACTCTGGGGGTATGGAATACGCCCTAAGTTTAAGAAGACCTTCATGAAGAATGAGGATGAAACGTTTTAGGACGAGAACGTAGCACCGGGGGCAATACCTCCCAGTTTCAAGAAGAAATTGGGGATCTTCCTGGCCCCTCGGTGCTACGCTCTCACCCTAAAGCGTACGAAACAACTGGCGTTCAGGGGGGGGGGGGGGATTGTAAGACCGCTGGGGACCGCACAAGGTTCGTGAACGTAGCTAATACCCCCAGTTTTAAGAAGAAATTGAGGGCTCTTCCTGAAGAATGAACGTAGCTAATACCCCCAGTTTTAAGAAGAAATTGAGGGCTCTTCCTGAAGAATAATCATGAGAGTGCAGGGAGGGAGGAGGTAAAGTACTGCAGAATGATGGGCCTATCGCAACAGTTTGTTTTAAATCGATCTTTCTGACATATTTTTGAGCAGGACAGGCTAATTATGAAATTAATTTGCTTGTTAACACATGCTGGCACGGTCGGTGTGAGTCACAAAATTTGCATTAAAATGATCGAGTGTATTCGTAATGCTTAAGCACCTGCGCCAAAAACATTATTTATAAATTTGTAAAACAGGTGTAAGTACAACATCTATTTCGATTCGAACGGGAGAAAAAAAATCTAAACATTTTTTAACGTCGCCCAGTACACAAATTTGGAGACGAATCAAGATATCAATATTGCGAATCGAATATGGATCAAATACAATTCTCGATTTTGACACAAAATGAATTGTTTATGAGTAAATTATCTAAATTTACGCGTGCGCGAAAAAAAATTTGGCACGTCCGAAAAAAAGCAGTAATCGGTGCGCGTTTAAATTATCCGTAAAATGACAAATTTTTGGCAACAACACCTGCCCGCCGCGCCGCTTTGTTGTATTTAAATTCGCCCACCTGACGCTGTTACAATTTGTTGCAGTACGAATGGCGGCGACGAGGTGGACCAGAAGACGTCGATTGGCGAAGTCGAGCAGGTGAGTTTTCGCCAAGAAAATAATCTCTCGCGCCTCGGACGCGACGTTACTGACGTTAATTGAGAAAATTATTATGTTTTTTGTTCCAAAGCGTCGTTTTTATCTCGAAATAGAAACCATTTAGAGCTGTATCATTGGGGAATACCCATTTACGGGCTCATGGAAGGTCTCTCTCAGGTCTAAAGTTTCGGAAATCTATTTAGAAATGCAATCGAAGGGGCATCAACATAAGTTGCGAAATATTTCGATTCGGTTCGAAGGACCAATTTGTGGTCGCACCCCACCCTCGCCGCTTCCAAACTGTGGAGAATCTTTAGTTTTTTGCCTCCACCTACCTCCGCCACGATACTGCCCCACCGCCCACTAGTGTTTGACTTCCGCGGGGGTGCACATTCTGCATCGATCGTACGAAAACCTTAGCGCAAAGCCTTTACGAGCCATAAGAGTTTTAATGATATTCACGTCCCTTTACAGCCTTTAATAGACCTTTAAAAGTTTTAAATGGTGTTGAATCTTGACTCCCTTTATTAGGCTTAAAGTACATGTAAGAGTCTTGGAGAGCCCTTTAGTGACCTTTGAAGTGTCTAATAAGTCTTTAAAAGCTATTGACTGTTTTAAAAGTCTCTAAGAGCCTTCAAGGATTTTTAATGGCCTTTAATTTTGAGATCCTTTACGAGCCCTAAACATTTGAGGCTCTTTGAGAATCTTTTAGTCGCCTTTGGAGCTTCTAATAGACCTTTAAAAGCTATTGATTGTTTTTAAAAGTGCCTTTAAGGATCTTTAATGGGGTTTAATATCAGAATCTTGAGATCCTTTACGAGCCTTTAATATTTGAGAGTCTTTGGGAACTTTTTAGTCATCTTTGGAACCTTTAATAGATCTTTAAAAGCTTTTGATTGTTTTTAAAAGTCTATAAAAGCCTTTAATGATCTTTAATCTTAAGATTCTATACGAGGCTTAAACATTTGACGCTCTTTGAGAATCTTTTAGTCACCTTCCGAGTCCTTAATAGATCTTTAAAAGCTTTTGATTATTTTTAAAAGTCTCTCAGAGCCTATAAGGATGTTTAATGGGGTTTACTATTCGAATTTTTAGATCCATTACGAGCCTTAATCATTTAAGGGTCTTTGACAAATTTTTAGTCACATTAGGAGCCTTTAATAGATCTTTAAAAGCTTTTGATTCTTTTTAAAAACTCTTAGAGCTTTTAATGGGATTTAATATTGGAATCTTGAGATCCTTTACGAGCCTTAAACATTTGAGACTTTTTGAGAACCTTTTAATCACAATTGGGGCCTTTAATTAATATTCGAATCTTGAGACCCTTTACGAGCCTTAAACATTTGAGACTTTTTGAGAACCTTTTAGTCGCCTTTAGAGTCTTTTAATAGATCTTTAAAGGCCTTTGATTATTTTTAAAAGTCTCTAAGAGCCTTCAATGGAACTTAATATTCCAATCTTGAGATCCCTTACGAGCCTTAAACATTTGAGACTTTTTAATCGCAATTGGAGCCTTTAATTAATATTCGAATCTTGAGATCCTTTACGAGCCTTAAACATTAGAGGATGTTTGAGAACATTTTAGTCGCTTTTGGAGCTTCTAATAGATCTTTAAAAGCTTTTGATTGTTTTTAAAAGCCTTTAAGGATCTTTAATACGGTTTAACATTCGAATCTCGAGATCCTTTACGAATCTTACACATTTGATGGTCTGTGAGAATATTTGGAGCCTTTAATATATGTTTAAAAACTTTTGATTATTTTCAACAGCCTCTAAGAGCCTTTAAGGAATTTCAATACGGTTTAATATTCGAATGTTGAGATCCTTTATGAGCCTTAAATATTTGAGGGTCTTTAAGAACCTTTTAGTCGGTTTTGTAGCTTCGAATAAACCTTCAAAAGCTATTGATTGTTTTTAAAAGCCTCTAAGAGCTTTTAAGGATATTTAATGCGGTTTAATATTCGAATATTGATATCATTTTCGAGCCTTAAACATTTGAGGCTCTTTGAGAACCTTTTAGTCCCCTTTAGAGTCTTTTAATACATCTTTAAAGGCCTTTGATTATTTTTAAGTCTCTAAGAGCCTTTAATGGGACTTAATATTCGAATCTTGAGATCCTTTAGAGCCTTAAACGTTTGAGACTTTTTGAGAACCTTTTAATCACAATTGGAGCCTTTAATTAATATTCGAATCTTGAGATCCTTTACGAGCCTTAAACATTTGAGGATGTTTGAGAACCTTTTAGTCGCCTTTAGAGTCTTTTAATAGATCTTTAAAGGCCTTTGATTATTTTTAAAAGTCTCTAAGAGCCTTCAATGGAACTTAATATTCCAATCTTGAGAGCCCTTACGAGCCTTAAACATTTGAGACTTTTTGAGAACCTTTTAATCGCAATTGGAGTCTTTAATTAATATTCGAATCTTGAGATCCTTTACGAGCCTTAAACATTTGAGGATGTTTGAGAACCTTTTAGTCGCCTTTAGAGTCTTTTAATAGATCTTTAAAGGCCTTCGATTATTTTTAAAAGTCTCTAGGAGCCTTTAATGGGACTTAATATTCGAATCTTGAGATCCTTTAGAGCCTTAAACATTTGAGACTTTTTGAGAACCTTTTAATCACAATTGGGGCCTTTAATTAATATTCGAATCTTGAGATCCTTTACGAGCCTTAAATATTTGAGGGTCTTTAAGAACCTTTTAGTCGGTTTTGTAGCTTCGAATAGACCTTTAAAAGCTATTGATTGTTTTTAAAAGCCTCTAAGAGCCTTTAAGGATAATTTAATGCGGTTTAATATTCGAATATTGAGATCATTTACGAGCCTTAAACATTTGAGGCTCTTTGAGAACCTTTTAGTCGCCTTTAGAGTCTTTTAATAGATCTTTAAAGGCCTTTGATTATTTTTAAAAGTCTCTAAGAGCCTTTAATGGAACTTATTAATATTCGAATCTTGAGATCCTTTAGAGCCTTAAACATTTGAAACTTTTTGAGAACCTTTTAATCACAATTGGAGCCTTTAATTAATATTCGAATCTGGAGATCCTTTACGAGCCTTCTTTTAGTCGCCTTTAGAGTCTTTTAATAGATCTTTAAAGGCCTTTGATTATTTTTAAAAGTCTCTAAGAGCCTTTAATGGAACTTAATATTCCAATCTTGAGATCCCTTACGAGCCTTAAACATTTGAGACTTTTTGAGAACCTTTTAATCGCAATTGGAGTCTTTAATTAATATTCGAATCTTGAGATCCATTACGAGCCTTAAACATTAGAGGATGTTTGAGAACATTTTAGTCGCTTTTAATAGATCTTTAAAAGCTTTCGATTGTTTTTAAAAGCCTTTAAGGATCTTTAATACGATTTAACATTCGAATCTCGAGATCATTTACGAGTCTTACACATTTGAGGGTCTATGAGAGAACATTTGGAGCCTTTCATAGATGTTTAAAAACTTTTGATTATTTTTAACAGTCTCTAAGAGCCTTTAAGGAATTTTAATACGGTTTAATATTCGAATCTTGAGATCCTTTACGAGCCTCAAACATTTGAGACTTTTTGAGAACCTTTTACTTAATCGCAATTGGAGCCTTTAATTAATATTCGAACCTTGAGATCCTTTACGAGCCTTAAATATCTGAGGACCTTTGCGACACTTTTGGTCGCTTTTGGAGCCTGTAATAGATTTTGAAAGTCTCTTAAGAGCCTTTAAGGATCTTTACTGGTGCTTAATATCAGATCCTTTACGAGCCTCAACAATTTGAGGGTCTTTGAGAACATTTTAGTAGTCTGTCGAGCCTTTGATAGTTCTTTAAACGCTTTTGATTAATTTTAAAAGTCTGTGTGAGCTTTAATCGAGCTTAATAGTCGGATCTTGAGATCGTTTACAATCCTTAAGGGATCCTAAGTTCATTTTAGGCCATTTAAGAGGTTCTAAGAGCAAAAGTCTTTTCTATAGACCTTCAGTGTTTTAGAAACCTTTACGAGTCTGTATGAGCCTTCGTGAGTGTTTAATTTTGGTACTTTTTAAGAGTGCGGTTAAAACACTTGAGCTTTTAAGACCCTATGCAGTTTCCAAGGTTTTCAAATTCTCTCCTTTTGTTGAGAGCAGAGCTTTTCCTGAACCTTTAAATTATTCGTTAATCTCTGAGGCTCTTTAAGAGTGCCCAAAACTGTTTATTTACTTTGTAAGCCTTTAAGAGGCTTAATCCTTGGGAGTGTTTGAAAATCGAACTTGAAAACCCCTAAATAACTTTTATGTGGGCCCATATACGTTTCTAAGAGCGAGTAGCCTTGTAAAGTCTTTGTGGCGCTTTTAGTGTAGTGATCCTTTAAAAGCTGAGCCTTTATGAGGATTCATGAGCCAAAATTTTTAATTTTAATGAGAACATTTGAGCAACTTGTTTTGATTACAATAGATAATAGCACAAAATGATGCTATGTAGGATGATTATATTGACTTCTGGTGGCGACGAATCCTCAAAAAAGAGCCCAACTGTCAGAATGAAATATGACAAAGGAACGGAGGACAGCCCCCGTAGCCATAAATTCTTTTATGTTTGTTTTTACACTCACTAAACGTACGGTTTTAAATTTATGCTATTTTCCAAACCGCGAAACACTTCCTTCGTATTTCTGTATTTATTGAAGTTTGATTGTTGGCATCGGCTCAGGAATCCGTAGACCGCCGCATAATAGTTTGATATCAAAACAATGATACTCTTTGAAGAGCTATTTCTGTTCTATCTTTGTTTGTCGATTTTAATTAAAATCTAGCCGACCCAATTTTCGCGTCCCAAAAATAAAGCTTAGCAGCCCATTAACTCTAAATATGAAGTAAATTGTCTCGTGCGTCAAAGGCGTTCGTTAATTATAGAGAGTGTTGGACCATTGGCAAACTCAGATTCGATTCATAATAATTTTTGGAGCTTCCTATTGTCAGAGCTCGGGCGTAATAAACATATCTTCAACACACGCACGCACGCACACATTCACATTTTATGTTATTTTTACTAAAGAAATCGTAAATACGTCGTCGGACTGACCTAACGAAAAATTAGTCATAGTTGAGCCGTTATCCATAACACTCGCGTTTTCGCGACGAAAAGTTGTGCTCTGTGTGTGTACGGAAGGACGAAATGTCTCTATGGATGAACTACATTCGAAGTGGACAGTCCAAAAGTAGTAGAAGCAAAAGGCTAAACAGGCAATCGACGTGCAGCGTAAGTCAAATTTGTTGAGTCCCTGAAAACTCAAAAAGGGTCCGTTTTTGCGATTTCTCTGAGCTTACTACTTTATAATGCGAATTTTTAGCTTCCCCCAGGCTCTAATTATATAATGAAATCTTGGTCCTTCGAGCCGAATTCTGTAATTGTCTGTCGTTTAAATAAGGGACGAATTTCTCATTTTCCAGCTTCCAGCAGAAGCCGAGGTACCGAAGTCGCCTCGTCCTCTTTCCGAAACGAGCGATATAAGCGCGGTAGAAGTCGGCGGGACCTTAGGAAAGCGGAGGGTGCGGCAGGGTCTGGACAAGACCCGCCCGTTGACCAGGTATTTGCCGATATGCAGCTCGGAACTGGACCTGAGGCAGCACATTGAGACCGCCGGTAGGTTTGGTGCGTTACAGGACGATCACGCTTTACGTTTTCCCAACGTTAGGTCACCAGGTCGTGCTCTGCCCCCACGTCACGATCAACTCGACAAGCTGCCGAGGATTTCTTCACAAGCGGGGTTCCAAGTTGAACGGTTGGTCGCGACGATGGTTCGTCTTCGATCGCAACAAACGCGCGCTCGTCTACTACGCCGACAAGAACGAGAAGAAGATACGCGGCGGCGCCTACTTCCAGGCCATCGAGGAGGTCTACCTGGACCACGCCAACTCAGTGAAATCGCCCAACCCCCAGCTCACCTTCATCATCAAGACGCGCGAGCGTTACTACCACCTCATGGCGCCCTCGCCGGAAGCGATGCGAATATGGATCGACGTCATCTTCACCGGCGCCGAGGGCTATCAGGAATTTAAGCACGGTACTTGAAACGCGCACTCGAATCGGAAACTTGGCGAAATTGTTGTATGCGGCCCGCGCGTCGGGAGATTAACGCATTTGTATATAGTTACCAAAATTTTGAACAAATTCGCACCTTAAAAAAGGGCAAATTAGAAACGTAAGTGCCTTAAAATTATTCTAAATAATTTTAGAGATTGTTGTGTTACTGAACCTAATTTAAGACTGTTTATACAATTATAATAATAATGTAGTACCTCTTGTAATTTTCTAATAAATTACTATAGAAACATACGTTGCGCGTCTGAAAAGAACATTTGTGGGAACACGGGCGGGTGTAGTCTGCGAGGTGTGGGGGGGGGGGGAGGCGATACTTTCACCAGAACAGTTCCACAAAAACTGATAGGTGATTATTTCGGTTAAATCGAACAAATCTGCAAGATGAAAAGGAGGCCGAAGCAGGGAGGGGGTGGGTATGTATGAATTTTTACGGATGCCTTTCGGCTTGGCGAACGCGCCAGCTGTATTTCAGATAGCGATAAATGCTGTGCTAGGGCCGCTGAGGTTTGGAAAAGTCATAGATTACGTGGATGATGTTCTCTTGCCATCGGCGGACGTCGATGCGGGCTTAGAAAATTTGACGACCTTATTATGCTAATACCTTAGTGTAAAGAATAGAATAGTGAGACAACCTCCATGTACGTTTTGGAAACAGCATATTTAAGAGTTATACTTATAGATGTCGCGCGCGTGTCAATATTACCATCCACTAAAGATTGGCGGTAAAAAAATACAGATTCTTTTCTCGAAATGATTACGCTACTCAACGCTAGTACTGTACAGAAATCTGCAACATGAATGATAAATATACAGAGGACAATGAAGCTATTGTTCATGAGCGCGGGTATGTATGGAACGCCGTTGTATCTTTTAATAACTGAACACCCGGACTAAAAAAATTAACTATAATTGACGCAATGGTACTAAAATTTATAGAAATTTACTTTGTGTTAACAACAATTGCCTAGTTGAAATTAATAATTGCATATCTTCCAATAACAACTCGCAATAATTTCCTCTTTTACAATTTCAAATAACGGTTTGTAGTGTACTTAACCCCCAGGTTCTACGCTAACTTCACACTACAAGAACACGGAAATAAAATAAACCCGGCAACGTTTAAAAAAAATGGCCACCCGAATGACTATTCCCTCCAAAACTAAACAAGATCCCGCTTAAATTTAAAAAGTGGCACGTGATAAAACATCTAAGGAAGGGCCCCCTTACGTTAGTTGTAGACAACGCTTTGACCTGAAGCACAGTAGGGAAGGAACGTTAAATAAAACACTGAAATTGTGAAAAGTTTGTTTAATAATGATCGTAATTATTATGATTGTGAAAACCCGGAAATTTAGTTGATGTACATTAATATAAACAAAACAAACAAAGCCAAAAGGTGTCGTACTCTCGCAAAAGTCACTGCCAAGGATAAAAAGAGTACGACGTAAGAAAAACCTTGCAGTTTGATTAAAACAGTCCAAAAGTTAATTAACAAAATATTTTGTAAAAGTTTTAAGCAGTAGTTAACAAAGATAGTAAATGCATATCCACAATGTTGGTTACACTCAAGGATAAAGCAAGTTTTTGGGGACAATGGGCCAGGTAGGAGCAGGTACCAAGATTCTGAGAAAGGGTTAAAAGTACAGGATGTGACTCATCTTTGGTGCAATAAAGTCCTTTTGTTGAAAGCAAAATGGAAAACTACATGGCCTTGTAGGCAAATTTGACTAAAAACAAAATATGTGGAAATTATTGAATCGCCACTCATTTAACGCACAGATTCTAAACTGAAGAGCTTTGATTAGCGTAATCTCGCTTCTGCATGATGGGTAGTCCGCCCCTGGTTTCGGGGTTTCGAACCTACAGTTGGATGTCGAAGACAGTGCACGGAATTAGGTGCCCTAACACATAATTATAAACTACAGTTTCTTTTTCCACCTTCCCGAGACTGCTTCATTCACGGAGAAAATTGTTAGTAACATACAACAAGTCAGTACATACATTAAACGAATCAGCAATTTCCACATATTAAAATAAAATGAAAACTTACATGAATGTAACTTCAAGGACAAGACCAAGTAATCAACATCAATAAACATAAATTAAGCAAACATTACACCAAAAATGTAAACAATTACAAACAATAGCATAACGGTATCACACATATGATTGCATTGCGGTTAAACCAAGTAAATTTCAAAAACAAATATTGAAACACACAAAAAATATAAAATGCGGCAAACAAAACACAAATACGATATAAAGAAATGCAAAAATTACTACCTGCATTAAATAACACAAAATAACAACAAACATTTATGGAGCGAAACGTTCACGACCGCCATTCAAGACAAGATGCCCAACGTAACTCCCGTTCGTGCTTTCTAGGTAGCGCAGGCAGCTTTTTTTCCACCTAGAAATTGCATGGTTGCCAACTCTCAAAAATGTATGTATCGTCGTAAGCTGTATATACAGGGTGGAACCTTTCAGGTTTTTGTGCGAAATTTCAAAAACCGTTATTGAAATGGCATATTTAACAATTTCAAATCGGCAGTCTTATTCATATATCACGATTTAGAAATAACGTGTTGAAAATTTTAATGTTCAAAAATTATCGGTTTGATATTATTAAATAATCTTTAATATCACCTTCACGCTTTGTAATAATTTTCAATTTCAAGTTGAAATAAAAAATTCAATTCTCTATTTCAAACTCGTAACTTTGGAACGCACAATTTAATTTTTAATATCAACTCTGTGATATTGGTAATTCGATTTACTTATGTCATGACATATAAAAATTGTGGCGCCATCTATCGAGTGATGTCAAAAGTGAGGAGCGAACCTCAACCCAACTAATCACGTTTGATGTAATTACCGCGAAAATCTACTTTCAAGTGCTTATTTTATTACCCATATCGTTCATAAATACATTGTGCGAATAATATTGTCAAAAAAATGTACAATTACCTACGCGAAATGGAGATTTTAAATTCTGTTCCGATTATTAAACTTACTGTCGCTAGAGGGCAGGTCAATTTGCTATATGTGATTTAAAAATATCGCCTTGATATTTTTAATTCTATTGCACAAATTACTAATCCCTACTTGAAATTTTTAAATACTTTGCATTGTACACGATATGAAGCTTAGAAATATAATTCGTGAATTGTATATGTCAATAGGATATTAAAAATTTTTTAACTATAACAACCTTTGTGTTAATTACAATTGTCAATATGGAAACTACTTCTTCCATTGTCGCAAAAATTTCAATCCCCTCTAACGTTTTATTTGAAACTGCATACCTATTAATTGATTTTAATGAAAATTTCAGGTACGTTTTAAAATGTTCAGAATGCAAAACTATAACTTCTGTTACTGAAAAATCGGTTGATGAGTTTTAAAAACATATTTTCGTTATTGAAAATTAAGAAATGAAATAGAAAATTATTCTATGGTTGAAAATAGCTTTTATTTTTAAATATCCGATAAAAATTTTTGATATCAAAAACAGTTTGTAAACATTCAGCAATAAATTCTTCATTGTGAAGGAATAAATTAATAGGGATGGATATTACTTGAAACAAGAAATTGAAAATTATCGTTATGTTGTGGATTGAACATCCAACTAAAGGAATCAATGAAATTTATTAATATTTCAACTCTAAATAATAATAGTTTTGAAATAAAAAATTGTTTTAAAATACAAAGTCGATATCATGAAATACGTTTGAATTAACAAACTTAACACCATAATTGAAGAATTACAATTATAAATTTCAAATAGCGAACTTCGCAAAGTATTTAAAAATTCCAAGTAGAAATTAGTAATTTGTGCAATAGAATTAAAAATATCAAGTCGCACATACTGGTAAATGAATTAAAAATATCAAGGCGATATTTTTAAATCACATATAGCAAATTGACCTGCCCTCTAGCGACAGTAAGTTTAATAATCGGAACAGAATTTAAAATCTCCATTTCGCGTAGGTAATTGTACATTTTTTTTTTGACAATATTATTCGCACAATGTATTTATGAACGATATGGGTAATAAAATAAGCACTTGAAAGTAGATTTTCGCGGTAATTACATCAAACGTGATTAGTTGGGTTTAGGTTCGCTCCTCACTTTTGACATCACTCGATAGATGGCGCCACAATTTTTTATATGTCATGACATATAAGTAAATCGAATTACCAATATCACAGAGTTGATATTAAAAATTAAATTGTGCGTTCCAAAGTTACGAGTTTGAAATAGAGAATTGAATTTTTTATTTCAACTTGAAATTGAAAATTATTACAAAGCGTGAAGGTGATATTAAAGATTATTTAATAATATCAAATCGATAATTTTTGAACATTAAAATTTTCAACACGTTATTTCTAAATCGTGATATATGAATAAGACTGCCGATTTGAAATTGTTAAATATGCCATTTCAATAACGGTTTTTGAAATTTCGCACAAAAACCGTTATTTGAAATTGTAAAAGAGGAAATTATTGCGAGTTGTTATTGGAAGATATGCAATTATTAATTTCAACTAGGCAATTGTTGTTAACACAAAGTAAATTTCTATAAATTTTAGTACCATTGCGTCAATTATAGTTAATTTTTTTAGTCCGGGTGTTCAGTTATTAAAAGATACAACGGTGTTCCATATACGGGCTTTCAATATTTATTATGATTTATGGTTTACTTAATAAATATACATTTTAGAGCAAAACTTCTGCATATCGACCCAAAACTCTAATCAGAATTCCAAATTTTGCTTCAAAACTGTGCTGAAATATTATTCGTACAAAAAGGGTACGAAAACTCAAAAATTTCATAATCATTATTGTGTTTTAATGTCAGATAATAAACATTCTTATAAAAAAAATGTAATTAATGCTCTATACGGAACAACTCATACCTAGACTCATACCTTACGTTCTGAATTCCATAATCTCGAATTGGGTAACGCAAGATAGTTGATCCGTAACGGAGATGAGCATATACACTGTGTCCAAGATAAGGATGTCTATCATGGGGATTTCCGAAATCATTCAAACCATAGAAGGTATGAAGATAGTCTAATTAAGGAAAAGTTGCGCAATTAACATCTGTGCTAGCCTCAGAAAATTTCATCTAAAACACTATTAATAAAGTGGCTTTTAAAACTTTAAGAAATGTGTTATTCAACGCCATATTCGAAAAACTTTCAGAACTCCTGCGGGATAATCAG